AAGTTGCATATGTTTTTGGTTTCCCTCAGCGTATTTTTCGGATAGCTGTAATGTTTTTGCGTGCTGTCAACACAAATATTTGACCACATAACAAAAAAGTTACAGAAACAATGCCCTCGACAGCAAAAGTTCACAGCATCGGTTACAACCAGCATAAACAACTAAAATCAGCCAACAACAGTTTCATATTTTCGGCACTATTCGAACTTTTGGTATTTATTAAAAATATAAATATATATTTATTAAAAATATATAAAAATAAAAAGTGTAAATTAGTGTTTATCATTTGGCTTAAAATTGTAATTCTTGTTAATATTAAATTTATTTATTTTTTTTACCAACTTATATGACTAATTTGTTAAACCAAAGTCGATAACACCCTTTGTTACCTAGTCCTAAAGCGGCCCAAAAAAACGGAAGCAACCAAAATACATCTCACAGGGTCGAGGGTCACAGATTCGAGCACATGGACAAGGACACCCGGAGCCACATTGTATATACATACATCAGTATGAATAAACATATGCATGACCATGCAAATGTGCCAACGGTTCGCGCGAAATGCAAATGAAAATGATATGTGTTTACATGCGACGCGGACTGAGAGTCAAAAACTGTTGTCAGTCGGCGAAATAAAAAGGGAGACGTGAATCCCCGCCGGACTAAGAACAGTCATCTCTGGCCCGTTTTGGCCTCTTTTCGATGCTCCCCATAAATTTGGATGACAGCCGAGGTGACAACGTGTCAACGAGCGCCGCGGGTGTCTGCCACGCCCCCCAAATCACAACGCCCACGCACACACATGATGGGTCATAAACCGAGTGTCAAGTGTCTGGCAAATCGGGCAATTAAAGATCAGCTTTAAAAGGCTCTGAAAAAGTCATGTATAACTTTAAATGATTGATTATTCGACAGCAGAGATCGGGGAATTAATTGGTAGGAGGTTTTGAAGAGGCAAATAGCATGAGATTTTAGAGTGTTAAGACATTAGTTTAAGAAGAAGTTAAAAAAGTTACATAACCAATCTGACTGAATGTTCTGAATACAAAATCAAAATTTTGTAAAAAACCATTTTTTTTTTAACTAATTAAAAACATTACATTAAAAAAATCTTTTTAAAATTATTATTAATAAAACTTATAGGGTGGCACAAACTCTCTCCATCCTTCCATATTTTATACTCTTGCATACGGTATTCTAATATTGCTTGAATGTATGTAAAGCATAACTGTTTATATTCTGTTTTAAAGCTGAAGACATAAAACTTTTGCACTGCTTTTTTATATGGCTGTTATAGAAAAGAACGGATTATATTTGTAAAATTTGCTGTTATTTGATATTATTAACAGTAAAAAGTAATGGTGTATACCAATAATTTTGATTTGATGTATAAACAGAAACTTTTGATGACAACTTTTTTCGGTGTAGGTGTTCCTAGTACATTTTTGAAGATTCCCTCTAGATATTGTCCCTCCCCCTGCACCACCCTCGTCCTCATTTCTTATCACCGCTGTGCTGGTGTTGCTGATGCTGTTATCGCTGTTGTAAGTGGCTGTCGCTGTCATCTGCCGGAGGCAGAAAAATAAAAGAAATGGAATGAATTTTGCCCCGTGGCCCCAACTCCGTGTTAAATTTGTTTCTCTCATATTTCTGTGATTTGTTATTGAAATTGTTATTGTTGCTGGTTGCCCCCATCGAATGTGCGTGACAACAACAGAGAGTTGTGCAGGCTTATTTTATAATCACAGCAATTTTCGAGCTTTGGCTCAATGATTTTTTCTCGGCTCACATATTTGCATTTTATTATCGCTCGCCCTTTTTTATTGACACAAATCATTTAGGCTGTGTGTGTGTGTGTGTGTGTGCTCTCCCAAGTGTGCGTGAGTTTTATTTGTCGTCAGGTATTTGATATTTTATTTCTGATTGCCTCGGGATTTATGTTGATGTTTATTTTGTTTGCTTATTTGCCAAATATTTTGAAAGGATTTCCCTCGAATTAAACCAATTTAAAGTGATGAAAACATGGAGAAATGTAACATTGTTACTATTACAATTGTTATTAATATTATTAAAAAGTTTCCACAATATTTATTAAAAAGAATCACTAATTGTTTATGTCATAAATAAACAATTATAGATTATGTTGTATTTGTTCAATTTAAATTAATGCAAATGCAATGCGACTAAACAAAAAACTGAGATTTAATTTCAATATCTTTGTTTTTATATGAATTTTAATTATTTTTAAAATAAATCATTTTAATTTGAAAATAAACTTTGTAATTAACTAATCAGTGAAGGCCAAATTCACTGACTCATAAATACACTGCCTAATGACCTTAAAATTCTGTTGGGGAACTCCTCTTTCTTAATCTGTTTTTCACGGCGAAATCCCAAAATAAACTCGTCGTAATGGGTTAACCGAGGAATAACTACCCAAACCCTTTTGGCCAGTCATTTCCTTCCTATTAAGTTTGTTTGCTGAGCAAACAGTTTTGAGGAGAGTTGTATCTAATTGATGAGGGGATGCTGTTTGTGGGAACTGAAACTAAAATTGAAATCGATGCCGCCACAGAAACCAGAGTAGGGAAGTCCAACAAAGGCTTATGCACAAACAGCCACACACATGTGGGAGCACGCAGAATTCCATTCATAAATCATCATATTTTCACCAGATTTTTTTGCCCCACAATTGTTTGCCTGGTTCAGCAACGCGGAAAAAATACAAATATTTGTTATGGTAGCTCGCACAAAGGCTTATGTTGTCAGTGGGTATGCATACATATATCTTCCATTTTGTATGGACGGGTTTTTTTTTATTTCCACCAGACATTGTTTTGTCATTCACTCAATTTGGCAAACAACCGAATCATTAGCTGGACCCTATTTCCCATTGCCATTCCGCTCGCCGCCGCCTTTATATCCACTTAAACTTACAACAAATTAAATAAGTTTCAACTCATTTACCAAGTCATTTTCCTGCCAACTTTGCTCGTCATCAGGCTCGTCGGCTATTTGTGTTTCAGTTTAGTTTTATGACTGGGCCTCTCGCCCCATTTTTGGCCCCATTTCAGCCCCATGCAAAGCGGAATCCACACAAAAGAAATCAGCTAAAAATTTATTTACCCTGACTTTGGCAGCGGAACTGGAAAACGGGAAAGTTTTGCGCTTTTGTTTGAAATTTGTTTCGCATTTGTAAGTTGAAATGCTTTCCCTAAGAAAAGCGGCATTACAAAACACAAAAAAAAAATAAGACAGAAACACAAATAAAAGCTTTGTCCTGCTCCTCAAAGGGAAACTAAGGAACCGGGACACTGAGGTTCCAAGAAACCATCCCAGACAGAACCCAATCTCAGGTTCCGTTTGCTGTTTTCCCGGAAAAAAAATATTTCACAAGTTTCCTTTTTTTTTTTTTTGGCTGGTCACCGCCAGCTTTTATTCAATTTAACTTGCTTTCGGCTTTCAGGTTTCAGCTTAAATAAATTTGTTCCATTTTAAAGGTTCTCGTTGACCGTCTGCTGCCCAAATTGATCTTATTGACACTTTAGTTACGGTACGGCCCAAATGGTCTGGGACGGGCCTATTGCCAGCCAAACCCAATGACCGTGTCATTTGTAACATTTTCCCCTCGGACTTGGGGGCTCAGCATTATTGCAATTTGAGCGCTTGATGGACGCGAAATAGGGGGTTGGAAAATATTGCCAGACCATAAACAAATCCTTATGGTTGTTTCCGAAAAAGAAGAGCCGCGGCATTCAACAGATGCTTCTGCCTTAGAGGCTTTTCATTTAAAGTAAAGTGGATTTGGAAAATTGTATGAAATGGCTACGTTATTAAGGCAATTTAAAATGTTGACTTAGTATCTCTATTTGACTTGGGTTTTATTAAGAAAATGGTTTCCATTTTTAGAAACCAGTGAAAGGACAATTTGTTGTGTTTCATGTTTGTATTTTGTATTGAATATGGTTTATGTAAAAATTGACTTAAAGTATTATATACTTAAATAATTTAGATAAGTACCTTTTGGACGTTACAGAGAAATACTTTGTTTTCCCGCCATGTTTTTATCGATCCATCTTTGCCTTGGAGTTATCTTATTTTTTCTCGACTTGCTCGTTAAGGAATTCCTTTTCCCAGCGGCAATAGATATTCACCAGATTTGTGTTCGACCAGATTCTGGACACAAATCCCGCGCCCAAATCTCAGGGCACACGCTACAACAGAGTAAACACAAGTATCACTCACCAAATATGCTGGGTGGGCAACCTCTAACCGCTCGAAAAACAAACCTATTTGCACAGAGAAAAAATCGAGATAAACTTTTAGACTGAGCAAAAAATTGCAATACTTAAATTTTTTGTATATTTGTAAATTATATTCTTAAAGAAGAAAGCACACTCGAGCTCAGCTATGAATTGAAAAAATAATATTATATTAAATATTAAATTCCAAAAAACATTTTGTACGAATATGAAATTTATTCCCTTTTTATGATTCATCCTTTTTCTCATATGCTACGATAGATTTAGTGTATTGGCTACATTTTTATAAAACAAAAGAGAAATTCTTAATTTATACAATTTTTCCCAGTGCCCACACAATTGTACTTTCATGGGAAATGGGCGAGAGTGGCGCGCTGAGTTATGACGTCCAACAGCTGTGCAAAACGATGGCCACAGCATCGGGAATAGCCGCTCATATATGGGCCAGTTGGCCTGAAATATGTTGCATAAGTCCCCGCGGGGGAGGGGGGTGGTGAAATATCATTTGGCAGCTTACTATTGAAGCGAGGGCTCCTGGGAAAATATGGGCGAAAAAAGCGGAGGAGTATTAAATAAAAATGGCCAGGCGACAGTTGGGGCTTGCATTGTTGCCAACCAAATCGTAAATCTTGGGTACACATAGGTGGACAGAATTGCAGCCACTTAATACAGTCATAAGTCGGGGGAGGAAATATTTACAAGCTCGGAAAATACAATAGAGAACTCCGTCTTTCGCAGGATATTTTCCATTGGGCTCGGAGCATTGCCTGACCTGGATTTGCCTGGATGTCCTTTTCTGCACGGCCAGCATCATGCACCTGTGCACCATCTCCGTGGACCGTTATTTATCGCTGCGCTACCCCATGAGATTTGGCCGGAATAAAACACGCCGGAGAGTCACTCTTAAAATTGTTTTCGTGTGGCTCCTGAGCATCGCCATGAGCTTGCCCTTGAGCTTGATGTATTCCAAGGTAAGTCATTGTTTCAGGGGTTATTTTAAATTGTATATAATTTAATTAGCATAAATGATAAAAGTCCAATATGTAATTAAATCATACACTTTACACATTATATCGTTTAAAAAGTTATTGAAATTTTTTAAATTCCAATATTCTTAAATAAAAGCATTGAGACATAGAATTGGATAGGATACAACTATTTAAATATTCCTCAATAAAAAAACAAAAATTCTATTTATGCTTTTATGACGTACTTAAAATCCGATAACAAATCAAATTCATCAATAACAAAACGTATCTCTCATTTTGCTTAGTTACTCTTTTGAACGTTATAATCAAAATCAGAGGAGAAACAAATGTCAATAAGCCCTTTGTAAACTAAAAATGTTCATATTCTATGTTAACAAATTAATTAAAGTCCAAAGATAAACAGATGCATACACACTTTGTGTGAATAGATGCTGAAAACAAAGACTATGTTAACCCAGTAATGCTTAAGTATTTTGTGAATATGTCCTTTACTTACACAAATTAATTCCATCCCCTTTGCCTCGCTATCTGTATCTGATATTTGATTCCAGAATCACGCCTCGGTGCTGGTGAATGGAACTTGCCAGATACCGGATCCGGTGTACAAGCTGGTCGGCTCCATTGTGTGCTTCTACATTCCGCTGGGCGTGATGTTGCTGACATATTGCCTGACCGTCCGCCTTTTGGCCCGGCAGCGCCAGAACTTGGGCGGTGGCCAGCAGACGGCAGCCGCCACCCCCGGATGGGCGAGTGGGTGGCTTGGCCAGGCCCCGGCCTTGGGTAAGGTTACTCTACCACATCTCGTTCTCCTTCTACACAGAAGTGCCCACGAAAAGCTGCAGCAGCTTAATATGATTTTCAGTTTGCCTAAAATTTGCATTTCATTCTCGGTTGCACTTTTTTTGTACTCAGAACTTTAGATGGCACTCCAGAAATAGGGTGAAAATGGAGGGGGGCGGGGAGAGGGGGATGTGTTGAAAGGGGGACAACACTAGACAAACAATGCAGAGACATGTGCCGGATACTCCCCTGAATCCGTGTCCCAGAGATTTTTGGGGCCCAAAGTGCGACTAAGCCGCAGCAATGCACACAAAATCGACATTGCCGTCGACATTGAACTGGGTGGATATGGGAAAACACTCTAGACCATCATTCCGCCCACCCACCTACACACACACACTACAAATAGGTGGGAAATCCGGCCCATATGTGTAGATAGCTAATTTCCACGTTGCCATGAATCGAAAGCCAGCAACGTAAATGGCTTGTAATGCTGTAAGAGCTTTTCTGTAGTGCTCAACTAGTTTTAAAACCGAAGTTTTAAGCTTCAACTTTTCAACGAGGGCTCGTTATTGCCTCGTTGAGGAGGGGATTTTCTAAAAATTTAAAAATGCCATTTAAAGGGATAATAGTTTTAAAATCTATAGTATATTTCTAAAATAAAAATGAAATAGAAGATTAAAATATGGTCGAATGTGGATACAAACCTATTTTCTTTTTATCCACTTCTTTTTATTGTCTAGTTTAAAATATTTTATAATTTATTCGGTTGATTTAAATGGAAAAAGTGTAGATTGGATATTTATTTATAATGTGATGTCGTAAATATATTAAGTCTCTATTTAGCACAGTTATTAACCAAGTGAAATTTGTTTTTACATTTGAAATAATCTATACAATTTTGAATATGTTTCTTACCCATCAAGGTACTTACTTATTCAACCCAGTTATTATACATCCTTATTTTTCTGATGGTTATTAGGTAACCCCGCTCTTGAGCTTTGAGCTAAAACAGTTCAGCGTCCTCTGCTTCTGCTATCTCTCTGCAATTCAATGGACCAGATTCAATTTATTTTAAGCATAACTAAGTGGGTCTTAATGCCTTTGTCTGCCCGCAGAATTTATTCAGCACTGTTCCCATTTCTCATTCGATTGGTTTGTGGCCCAGAGGGATTCGGGGGTAATTTTCCGGGGACAAGCGAGATCCGAGAATGCCGAAAGTCAATACAGACGGGGAATATTTAATGGACTGGTGACTGCAGCTGAATCGCAAGCACTGCAGGGCAATTCGATGGATTCAAGCGAGAATTTAGGGGCGCCTTGGAGGACGCGGTGTCCCCGATTCGGTTGAGTGGATCTGATGCCTCGGCTTAGGGTGTGTGTGTGTGGGTGTGCAGCTATGGGTGTGCCAGTGCTACTGTATGGGTGCCATGGATTTGGGCAGTTATTTTAAGCCAAATCTCTGCTGTAAAGCGTCCGCATTTGGGCCAGGCACGTAGCTGGATTTGCTGGATTGTTCGTTTTACTAGGAGCACAGAGAGAAAAATATCTTAATATCAAAGATACCATCAAGTTAAGATTTTTCCATGCTTAATCAAAATATTAAACCTTTTTTTATTTATACAAACAGTAATTAAAAATGTATTTTAAAGTTGTAAATTTACTTTTTTTTTTTTTTTTTTTTTTGTAGGCGACCTTTGATGTATGTTTAAATTTTTTGAGTTTTTCCGGCTCGAGGTCAACAATTGAAAAATGTTTTAAATAAAAGTTTTTAATTTTTATTTTTTATTATTTCCAATATATTTCGGTTGCACTTCGGCAACCGTCTTCAGGGCAAATAATTTTACATTGCACCTCGGCGTGGGTTAATACTGTAAATTTACTTTACTTATTCGAATAATTTAAGTTACACATTAAAATTTGAAATCTTAAGTGCCTTTTTAAAATGCTGTGAAGACGTTAAAAACTAACTTAAAACTAATTCAAATTATTTATTAAAATGATTATCCAATAAAAATAGATGTCATTTCGATTGATTTTATTTGTTCTGATTTGTCTGTAAAAGTAGATTTAGTTTTGATTGATTTTTCTTGTTTGAATTATTTGTTTTTCTCTGTGTACGCGTGCTTTTGGGGCATTTGTGTGTGTGTGCTCGTGCAAGTTTATTAGCGCATTTGTGACTTTTTGTAGTGCACTCATGGGCTGACTGCAATTTAATGGAAACTGTATATCCGTTTAACCCATGTTCGTGCTCCGCAGAACGCCGATGCACCTGGCGACGTCTGTTGAAGCCGGGTCCGGGAAACGCCTCCTCAGTGCTGCACGCCCACTCCGCCAATTCCACGGACACTGACCTCAGCACATTGGACAACCACGAGCTCTGGCTGCCCGATTCCAGGTAAGCAGTCCTCGCCAGCTAATGTTATGTATGTAAATTACCATATATATTATTTGTATCTGTAGCATAAAGGAACCCACGCCCACGACAATGACGGCTCTGCATCAGTTTGGAGCCGAGATGCTGAAGCTATCCCGTGGCCTGGAGTCGGTGGCCTCCTCGTCCACCACGGGTTCGCCCACCAAATCCGAATTTTCCATATCGAATCACCTGCAGCTGCAATACCCATGCAGTCCCCAGCGATACGCCCCCCACCACGCCTCCGCCCTGCAGCCGCACCAGCCACATCATCATCATCATCACCACCAGCAGCCGGGTGGCGTCTACCACCAGCAGACCTCGCCCAAGGGTCGCCAGGGAACCACAGTCCTCGGTCTGTCCACCACCACGCTTGGAATAGAGCGGGAGAGCACCCGGAACTCCTTGGCCAGCAGTCGCATGGGAGGCGAGCAGAGTGATGGGTAAGTCCTAAGCGGGATTTCCTTGAATCATAATAGCCTTAATCGTTTTCAGCAATTTATAATGATTATTTTAGCTCTCATTATAAAGAAAATAAATAAGGGCGTACATTTGATATTTTATATTTGTTTTAAAGTGTTCAAATGTTATCTTAAAAATGTATTGCTTGCTTTATTACAAAGAGTGTTTAAAATGTACTGCTTGCTTTCTTAAAAAGAGTGTTTAATACACAATATGTTTAAGTCCATAATTAAACTACAAATATCACTTATTGACAAATGAATATTAAATTAAAATGTTTTTAAATTACTTGACAATCACTTAGCATTTACTAGAGTTAAAAGAAACTGCCAAAAACCAATTAAACCCTCCTACATTTGTAAAGTGATGCTAAAGGATAATTAAATTTGTTCCCCATTTAAGCAACAACCAGAATTTCCATTGTAACAAATAATATTATCACAGACAATTAAATTCATTCAACTTTATCCTTTCCGTGCGGCCCGCAAGTTTCAGTGACATTTTGCCATGCCCCTGCAGAATCGTAGACAATTGTGTGTTTTGTGAAAGAAATCCTGCGAAGTACCTGGAAAAACGTGAAGTTTCCTTGGTCCTTCGCCTGACAAAAGGACAAACAGCTGCGACCGGCAAACCGTTTTGCTAGAGTGATCCTTTCTAGTCACTCGCTGTTCCTTTTGTTGTCGCAGTCTCAGCCGGTTTTCGAGTCCCAGTCCGAGTTTTCTGGGCCCGGGTGCCCATTTCAGGCCAAGTGTGCTGACCACACCAAAAGCCAAGGCAACTGCTCACCTCGAGTCCTCTTTTTTTTGTGACTCGTTTACTTTCTCCTTTTCCATTTATTTTTTTAGCATTGCCTTTTATTGTCCTTCCGTTTTCGACTTGTTGTGAAATTTTTCGTAATAATTAATTTTTTTTTACGTTGTCGTTTTCCTTTTTGTCGGTGCAAAATGGTTTTTCTCTTCGTTTTTTTTTTTTGGGCAAAAGGAGAGGTACTGCCTTTTTATTTGGCATTCGAGCCGCTCAAGTGATTTTGGCGTCGACGTCAACTGTGGCCTTTTGCTTAAATGTGTTTTTCATTAATTTTCTAATTTTAGCCGACTGGCTTATGTTGGGATAAGAGATGCGCCCTGAAATTCAATTAAAAAATTGAAATCATGGAAAGCGAGTATTTTTATATTTTCAAGAATGTAATAAGAAATCAAAGCATGGTTCGACTGGATTATGAATAAAGATGGTCATGTTAATGGGCAGTCAGGTGGACATAATAAATAAAAAATTAGATTCAAAATCAAAAGCAATGGTGTGAAACTTCAATAAGAAAATTATTTTATCTTATCATTAATTTTGCATTTCTTAACTACATTTATTTCCAATCAGGTTTATGTTATTTGTATTTAATGCCATTTAAATGCTTGTAACTCTTTTCATAACATTTGCTATTGCTTTATTTATTTAATTAAATTTGAACTTTAATATTTAAAACTACCAGTTTGCCTTTAAGCTCCAATAAAAGGCAGCTCAACTCACGAAATGACTGAACATTTTATCCTCTTCAGACCTTCTCTTTTTGCACAATTCCTTATTCACGTTTATATATCATATATCTGTGACTGTGCGCTTTTCATCGAACTGACTGGATCGAATATTGGGTATTGTGCCTCATATCTGCCACATTGTTTGACAGTTGAACGAATTTGCACAATCAATAAAATGGATTTCGGCTTTGGCTTCTTTTTGTGCGCATTGGATGCAAAGTGGCAAAGGATGAAACGAAAGAAACGAAACGGGGTCAAAGTCGAGTGGCTTTTAATTGTTGGACAATTTGTCGTCTCATGCAGGGAAGTTAACAAATGATGTTGACTACACAAGTATTCTAATTTTCGGGATTTCACGCACATAATGACAATGACGGCGGAAGTGTGTAGAACATGGCTTCAGATTCAGATTCCGCTTAAAATCCCTCCCCAAATGAATTTTCCAGCGAGCCTCCAGCCATGTCCTGATGAGCTTGGCAGCTGTTTGATGCCTTTGTGACTGAAACAATAACAAACTTGGCATCAGCGCGTCTTTGTTACACTTGCATAATGAGAAGTTGGCCATATCCCCATTGCTTAGCCCTGTTCCAACGCATCTCAATTTATGCGCACGTCTCGTGCAAACAAATCAAAAACGCGAAGGATGCATAATGAGCTGACATCCTTATCCAGCGTCTTAGTCCCCGAGCCTCCTCCGTCCCCTGCGCTCTGCCCTTCACCCCCACTTGCCCTCCTGTCAGCTAACGCCTTCATTAGCAGCTAACCACGCCCCCATCGTCCCCCCTCCGTCTTGGCCAAATAAAGTTGGCGCGCATTTGCATGCAAGGCAAACGGGCGGTAAGACAAAAACCGCAAAGGCAGCTCGGAAATTTATGCGCTTTATTAAAATGAATGCAAAATGAGCTGAAGAAAGGAGCCTGCTCTCAACACTAGAAAGAATAAATCCGAAATAAAATAAAAGAATTTAAATTAAATTAAAAGTAGGTAATGAAACCATTTCATATTTGGGTTTTATTAAATACTATTTAATAAAGTTCCGAGTTTTAATCAAATTGCTTTTCAACATTTTTGCCCATTTTTGAAAAACAATGTTGTTTACAAAAAGTAAACCAAATTCCAGTTCCACCTCAAAAAGAATATCCATTTTCTCAGTGTACCACAAACAGCAGTGAAAATGAAAAGAAAAGCCCTAAGAAAAAATGTTGGCTGGCGGTGGACCACAAAGCGCAAACAAAAAAAATTTTGCCTACTTCGCAGCGTGCCACGACACAGGTGAACGAAACGAGCTGACCACAAAGCGTGCTGGCTGTTGCCTCAATTGCTGTTAGCGAGTGTTCACTGCATTGTTTTTGGCACCCTGCCTTCGAATAGAGTTTTGCCAATTGGCTGCGCAATTTTAATTAAAAATGTACAACGCCGAAGGAGATAAATTTCAACGGGCAAAGAAATGACACGGAATGGGTGGTAAATCAATAAATCGGTGGGGTGTAACATTGACATATTTATATACTTGCATTATTAAAACCACCATATTTATATACTTGCATTATTAAAACCACATGGTGTCCCTCTGCTTTGCATTGCTTTAAGTAAATTCGAAGTTAAATGTATTCCTATTAATTTGATATAAATTTTTGCCAATCGGCTTATTAAAATACTGTGATATATTCTGACTTATCCGTTTTGGCAGCTGCTCAATTTAGAAATCGGCTTAGATTTTCTCATTGACGATTACTTTTACCTAATCAGGCAGCTTAAAGGGTTTATTTTCTAAATATCATTATATCAAAAACATTCTCTTTATTGAAAGCTTAAATCGAATTTTAATGATGATAAGTGTAAGCCAAACTAAGTGTAGAGATACTAAAGATGTCAGAGTTGACATAATTAATTACAAGATCTATACGTTAATTTGCATATTAAATACCACTTTGTTTTTTTTCAGGACTCTCTCGCAGCTTTCCCAGCGACTGAGGGCGTATAAAAACCGACGGCGGGCTTCGTCCGCGGTTCCAGGACGAGATCGACGCTCTGGGCAGGAGGATGCCGATGAGGATCTGGACACTCCAACGTCCACGCTGCGTCGCCACAAGCGCCATAATAGTCTGCCCAAGAATGCGCTCTACCCACGACACACCACCCTACAGGAGAGCCTCGATGACGACGACGACGAGGAGGATGAGAGGGCGCGGCACAAGGACTCGCCATCGAAGACCAAGATCTGCCACTCGGACACCGAACTGGATCCACCGCAGAACGCAAAGCAGTGTCATGCGAATGGCCAGGACCACCAGACGGACTACCTACAGCTGCCCTCCGTTTGCACCTGTCCGTATTTCGGGGATAGACCGCTCCAGAACTGTGTGAAAACGGCGGAGGTGAAGATCATTTCATCCGCCTTCCGGGTGACCACCACCACCACGGCGGTGAGCAGTTCGCCCAGCGAAATGGAGCTGCTCATGTGCAGTGGTGGCAAGAAGAAGTCGCTGACCTCCAGCGTGAGTGCTGGCATGACGGGTGGATCGGCAGGCGGAGGAGCAGGAGGAGGAGGACCTCCTGCCACATGTGGCTCCACCCTGAGTCCACACTCGGCCCACAATCAGGGCAGTTCCCTGACGGTCCAGAGTGACGGCAGTGGCTATCTGGCGGCCCCGGGAACACCCTGTCCTGGCAGACGAAAGTTGAGCATCTCGAAGACCGCTTCGGTGGTCACCTGGGACTCCAGTCGACATCGCAGGCGGGGCAGCAGTTTTGGCGGCGTGCGAACATCCCTCCTGCTGACCCCCACCAAAACGGCCACCGCCTCCACTTCATCCACGCCCTTGAGAAGATCGGCTACGCTGAGGAGTCACCAGAACATGAACTATCAGGGGGCGGGTGAATGTGGTGGCAAGGCCAGGACGGACCACATCCTCGCCCTGCATGTTGCAGCGCCAGCAGACAGTGCGATCCCATCACTCGCGGAACTCCAGTGTGATCTCGAGGAACTCCTCCCGCCACGGCAGGATCATCCGGCTGGAGCAGAAGGCCACCAAGGTGCTGGGGGTGGTGTTCTTCACCTTCGTGATCCTGTGGTCGCCCTTCTTCGTCCTGAATCTCCTGCCCACCGTGTGTGCGGAGTGCGAGGAGCGGATCAGCCATTGGGTCTTCGACGTGGTCACTTGGCTGGGCTATGCCAGCTCCATGGTGAACCCGATCTTCTACACCATCTTCAACAAGGTGTTCCGGCAGGCGTTCAAGAAGGTCCTGCTCTGCAGGTATTCCAACACGAGTGCCTGGCGACCGAGTAGATAGCAGACGCCCGTCAAGCCGGGAAAACTCAAGGCGAATCCGCACAAGTGCGCCAGTGTGGACTTTCAGGATTCCAGCGCTCCAGTGCGGGGTGTCCTTAAAAAGAGTGTATGTATATAAATGCAAAGACAACACAAACGGTCATTTCGCCTGCGGTTAACCGCACAACGTGTCGTATACGCAATCTCGGAGGGATGAATACCATATCCCCCACTCCACCGCTTGCACGTGTGTCCTTGGGGCTTAAGCGCTTATGTGCCTCTAATTAATTTCAAATTCAATTTGCATGCCATCGAAAACACGTGGCCAAGAACCGGATCGGCTTGGAGTCTCTCATCCCCGCCGGATTGCCAAGGGTCTGGGATTAAGTTTGGCGCAGACAATGGCATCCTCTTGTGGTCCCACTGCGAATTACGATTTCCCTCGGCTTTCAACAGACGGTGAGGATGCAATTAATTGTGGAATGTTTGTTTTGGAATAACATAATCTGGGCAACCCATTTAACTTTGTTGAGTGGTCGGTTAAACTCTACTGCACTCATGGCAGATATCTAAAATATTCAGTAAATTCCTTTCCAACTTCCCAGGTACTCTTTTTTAATTCTAAAAACTTTAGACTGGGAAACATTTTTATTGCATTTTAAGAATTTAATGCCGCCTGCAAAACCCAAAAATGTTTTAATTTCTTTGCGCCAATCTCTTTAAATGTTTTGGTTTTGCAAATACCAATCGATAAACGCTATTTTGTTTCGGCATTTGGCAATTATGCATTAAATTTATGGCAAATTTCCTACCCGCAAATGCATAAAGAATTTCATGGGGATCCATTAAAGTAACCGACACGTACACAAATCCACGGCAATTTGTGACTTTTGTTGTTTGTTCGTGTGGTTGCCAATGCTCTTGGCCCACTAGATTGCTATTTTTATTTGAAAAGTTCATTCATTTTGTTTTATTTCTGTGGCCAAATGAAAAATTTCAGCTGGTCACGTAAGAATTTGACGGTCAGGATGTGGATGTGGATGAGGATGTGAATTGAGGATCCCAGTGGCCAGGAGGTACAATCCTGGGGCCAAGAAAAAAAAACGAAAAGTCGGAGCAGCTGGCTGAAGGACATCAAACAACAAGAGGCCAACTGTAATAACGAAAGCCGGATGAAAGTTTCCAATGTGCTGCCAAGTTTTAAAGCCCCAGATGAGCGGTTCGCGTTTTGGATGGGGGGCAAATGATAGGTAATGACGCCATTAGTGGCAGCCACTCAAAGGACCTGCCTGTCTCGATGACACCTCACAAACAGCCGGCAAAATTTGTACCATTTTTGCTGACAAATTTTTAGCGCCCCCATCATCCCAACGAACATTTGCACAGCAGGCGACGTGGGCTGAAAATGCTGAAAACAGACATAAGGAAACCCCCGTGGCACTTGGAAATTTATAGCAATTTTATCGCCGGCGGAAATATTTTTTCCACTTCATTGAATCCTTGGCAGAGGCAGGTCGCGCCTGGGTCGCAAAGTGTCGCACTCGGGGAACTTCATTGAACTTTAATGGCAGGCCGTCGGGCAAACAACAAAGGCCCACGTCCGTTTCCTCTATCACCTCCACATCCGCTGATTCGGCAACATATGCTCGTTTGGGGGCAAGAAATAAAAAACTAGCAGATGGAAATCCATTACAGCAGCCAGATTACCCTGAAAAGTTTCAAAAACTTATTTCTTACTCATGAAATTCGAGAGAGCAAATAGTGGGTTATCAAAAACTTTCTCAGATTTTCTTTCTCTATTTAATTTCTACACTTTCAGAATAGTTGTCTTTTTAAGGTGTTTCCATAAAAAGGACAATATATGTTAATCTTTGTTAAATGTTTTATAAATCACTTTCAGTGCTGAAACCGGAAACTTTAAGGTGCAGCCATTCTTGATCACAAAATAGTCTAAGAAATGTTGAAGCTCAAGTACCAATGTAAGGAACTTTTCTGTGACCATAAACTAAACTTTTCCTAGCTTTATTGGTCTGATTAAAAAGTTGCCGAGCTTTTAATGTAATTGAAAGAAAATAGCGTAGACAACAGTAGCAAATACTCAACACGGATTAAACCATTGTCTGAACCATAGAAGATCTAGAACCATTTCACAATATCATAAGTTTAAAACGAATTTAAGACAAACTCACGGCAAACTAAATATAACTTGTAATCGATGTTTTAAATGGTAAACACTTACTACTAAGACGATAGTACACTGTAAATTGTAGATTGATCATTGGTTTATGAAGTAAACCAAGAAAGGGGAGCATTGTGACAAAACGCTTTTACCAGTAGTCCTAGTTATAAGGAGTGGCATTCCGCGGATGCAAACTCTATACCTAAACTGATCTATGGAATAAGTAACTCTTTGTAAATAACCAGTTGTGTACTATTTGTTTTTAGCTTAAGGGAGTGATTGGAGTCGAAGAGCCCGTCAAGCTTGTGCCCTGATTAGTTTAGACTGCTGTGTTGCTTGATCGGGATGTTATGTGATTTGTAGACAGATGGGACATATTTACGATAGTAAACTAACTATTACACACCTCCAAACTGGACAATGGGTAACAGAGAGCATTTTCTATGGGGTCAAACTTATGGTTTCCATACTGAGAAACTTTCGAATTTGTAAAAGAAATAAGAAACACATAACCCGAAACCAAGTTCAAGTTGCTTGCGTGTTTTACATAGATGTTTAGCCATAAGAAGCTGAATTAATCAAAATTGCTATCACCGAGACAGATAAATACCAATAAATATATTAAAAGTGGAAGTCTAAATAGCCCGAAATGACATATCCCCATATATAAGTGTGTATTTTATGATAGCCATAGCGAATCCTTCCTAACCTAAGTCAAAGACACTGAATCGTAGATAAAGAAATATGTGAAACATATTAGCTATAATGTATTATGATTTGTACAAATGTTTTCTGATTGTATTTGATTTATATTAAATGTGCATTACATAAATTGCCTGCCACAGAGTTTTATTGAAAAAATGTATTCTGCAATAAGTGTGCAAAAAGTGGGAGTAAAAAAGGTTTAAAAACTCACAGGAAACCCACATATAACACCATACAAATAATTCAGATGAATCCCACGCATTGATATCCTTATGAAATTACACTTAATTAAACAGCGAACTGGATTGTGCAGTACCTTACTTATTGGCAGGCAAGTATGTGTATATTTGTAGCCACTGCATTATTTTTTCAGACCATTAAAAAAAGCAAATTAATATAATCTATGTTTTGCTTGTAAAGTTTTGCATTTTAAATGCCAAGGTAACATGTCCTGACAATAATTAGCTGGGTAATTTGCCACAATCCCAGTTAAATTGAGGGCTTTTGAAAGGATGCAGCAAAAATAGAAAAACACCCTGATACAGCTGCCATTCCAATTGAATTTGCGCCGCCCACGTTGTGCCCACTCAAGCGATATTGCGTATACGACCAGTTGACCAGCGTGGGTGACATTCAACTGCAGTGTGGGCAGCACTCAAGCGTCAAACCAAACAGAACTGAGCTTGCTGCATTACCGTCACAAGTTAAGTGATAATAATTATTATTTCCGCCACTTGACAAATTAATGCACACTAATGCCGCACAAATTTGGTGCATCAAGAGGCCGCAGATTTTCGCGGAATACGCAGAGCAAATCCCCCAACAAAGTCGCAAGAGGAAAAGCAAAGAAAAAAGAAAACCAAAAAACCGTAAAAAAAAAGCAAAGTCAAAATTGCGACTACTCAGCGTCTCTTAATTTTATTTGCAGCTTTAAGGGCTCGTAAAATAGCGAAGAAAAGCGTAGGGGCTGTTTAATGGATTCCCTGTGCCCTTTGCCCACTTCCCTTGATGTTCGCTGAAAAAAAGTCTCCTTCACTTGAGAAAAAAGATGCCATAATAAACGGTTTTCTGTGCAAAGCGACAACGCCGCCAACTTGAAATTTCTGGCCAAGAGCGCCTCTGGGTGGGCGGTAAAAAATGGAAAGCATTCCCCAAAACTCTGAAGCACTTTCATGCGCTTTTAATCTGCATATGTCTGCGCTCAAAGGTGCGGGTAATAATAGTCTTTTTTCCTTTTTCGTAAATATTTTCGAATGCAAAAGCGGTTTGCGAAAAAGAATGGCGGCTGTAGACCTGCACTCAAATCTGCGAGCCTACAATGAAGCGGCGAGCGAAAAAACCACTCACTTTTGTTTGTTTATTGGTCGCACATATCAGCGAAACAACAAAGTAAAGTGAACCCGCAGTTGGCGTTAAAAATATTTTTGTTTCGCGAATAAAAACACAGACAAAAGTTGGGGCAATCGACCAATTATTACCCTACGAAATGTGAAAAGGCGATTAATATTTATTTGCACCTACTTACTTAAGGCAGAGGAAACAAAATCGCTAGATTTAAATCCCAAGATACAAAGGCAAGTGAGCCATCAATAAAAATATGTTTCACAAAAGAAATCCTTTTGCATAAATGCCTTAAAAGTGGAACCTAAAATCACCTTTTGCATGCCACTTCCCTTAAATGCCAAGGCTGATTGTGTAACAGGATTTCGCAGTCCTTATGTTCAATTGCCAACAAATTGTATGCAGTTTCTGTCGAACTGCAGGGTATGAAAAGCCTCACTTGCTGCAGATCTCGTCTTCCTGCCAAATGGACCAGCCATCGTACATATGTATGTATATACGTATCGCAGCAGGGAAATGGGGAAATCGTGCCACCTGCCATGAGAACTGTGTACATTGATTGCATTGATTTATGGCCCAGATGCTGCTCCATGTCGCTTGTTGCGCACTTTATGGCCATTTCGATTGGCTCTTTGCATCAGCACAAAAGGCTGAATTGCAATGCCTTGCCTTTTCCAAAGTGCCATGCAATTCTGCAACATTTTAAAGCCGCTTTGCGGCAGAAAGCCTGCCCACACAGACTAAGGGCTCCACAAGAGCCCATGAAACTATGGCCACATTATGCCGAATCACAATCAAATGGCAAGGCGTTGACAATGAAAGGATGCCATCGGTAGAAGAACAAGCCCATGTATTTCAGTGTATCCCCATTCCAACAGCATACATATTGGTGGGCGGCTTTGAATTCACTTATAAGAGTGTCTCAATGTATGCACCAATATTTCAAGACCAAATAATTCATTACCAAATTCAAGGCTATTTTAAAAAGCATACCTTAAGTCCCCTGCACAAGAGACGTTAAAACCTTTGGGGGTTATTGTAGGATTCCCAATTAAGTGGATTAGAAATTGAATACGTAATCACTGTCATTTTCAAACATTAGTTCATTATTCCCGACATTTATGGAAAATTTAATTAAATTAAAATAATAATAAGCATCCGGAGATCTTTAGTTTTTTTAAAAGGAAGTTTCTAAGACTTGGATTGGGATCAGAACTGAGACATTGAAAGGGTAACGCTGCAGGCAGCTAACCGAAAGCTTGCATTTATCTTTGCCTGACAAATTGCCGAGCAGGTAAGGAAGCCGTCAACAAGGATATCCACTCACCACCCACACGGCTCTCCTTAATGGGAAATTATATGCGTCTTTGTTTTGCTTCGGCCTGTGTGTGTGTGTGACTTGGAGGGAGTCCTTTGTACCGACCACAGGCGTAAACCCGTTGGCTAAATCGCTTACAATTTATGTGACAGCATTAACCCGACAAAACCGCACTCACAAAACCCTATTTACCTTGACATTGCGTATGCGACATGTTGCACAATTCAGAGGCAAACAGGCTCGGAAATTCAGAATTACTCGTCTCAATGTGACAGCATGCAAATGTAATATGAAGTAATAATGAAATTACACCAAAATGGCCAAGCTCTTTGACATCAACAGTTGAGGCTGTTCTGATTCGATTACCGCCCCCAAAATGATGACAGCAACACCATTTTGACAAGTTCCCTTCTGAAGTGTGAATTAAATCAGAGTTCATTTGATCAGGCCCACCTGCTGCTTAATACATTTCGAAGGTAGGCAAATTTTAAATGAAAAGTATTATATTTATAAATTTGTGCCACCTTTCATATTCGATGTTTGATAATTAATTTAATGAAGAATTAATAGAAAAAATGTAAAGAACAAATTTAAAGAACAAATTTATTACTTAAGAAGATTTATTAATGCTAGGAAGCATCCTTTTTATAATCTAAAAATGGGTTTCAAGGCATCAAAAATCAGCGTCAAATCAAACAGGCTATTTTGAAATGATAATTTCCCCAGCCCGGTTTTCCCCAAGAAAAACTTGAGTGCGAGTTGGCATGCCGCTGCTGACATCCCATATTGATTGCTTTCAATTAAAATACCGCCAGTTGACTGCCGAAAAAGTTGACACGGCATGCCTTTGTGTTAATTTAATTTCACGAGACTACTTCAAAGTTGTCGGTTGAAAGGCGGAGTGGTGTTGGTGGGATATTGACAGCAATGCCAGTGGCTAGATCCTGTCAGTTCTATGCGGGCACTCTAGACAGTTTTTGTTGGCCCATTGCCAGGACACTGACAGGACGACGGACAGGATCTGGGAGGAAATTTAGTTTTCATTCATCCACTCAACTTTAATTCACTCAGTAGAAGCTTGGGTTTAAAATCGAATTAGTTTTTTGTACACAAGGCTAATGGGCTTAAACAAAATAAAGACCATTCGCATTCTTTCAAAGGGAAACCTTTTAAACCCATTCAGAAACAATATTTTAGAGAATTAAGCCACGATTAATTAGAAGTATGCCACTTTAAAATCGTATGTCTGTAAAAAAAGTTATGGGCTTAGAAGTACAGATTTTTGGTCACTTTTCTGCAAAGTCATTTTTTGAAAATTAGGAAAGGGCTTACATTGTTGAAAATGACGAAAAATCGACCCAAAAATAAAAACAAAAGTGAAAACACAGATTTTTGGAGGTTTAATCCACAATTATTTAGAGATATGCCACTTTAAAATCGAATGTCTGTAGGAAAAGTTATGGGCGCAGAAGTGCAGTTTTTAACCACTTTTCTCCAAAGCCATTTTTAGAAAATTTGGAAAGGGGTTACATTGTAAAAATGACGAAAAATCGACCCAAAAAAAAAAAAAAAGTTAAGTACGCAGATTTTTAGAGAATTAAGCCAGGATCATTTAGAGATATGCCATTTTAAAATCCGATTTCTGTACGAAAAGTTATGGGCTTAGCAGTGCAGTATTTGGACACTTTTCTGCAAAGTTATTTTTCGAAAATTTGGAAAGTGGATACATTGTAAAAATGACCAAAAATCGACCCAAAATCACAAACCAAGATGAGTATACAGATTTTTTGGGGACTTAACCACAATCATTTTAAAGTATGCCATTTTCAAATCGGATGCCTGCAACAAAAGTTATGGGCTTAGAAGATCAGCTTTTGGGTCACTTTTCAGCAAGGCCATTTTTAGAAAGGGGTTACATTGTAAAAATTATGAAAAATCGACCCAAAATTACTAACCAAGATAAGTTTACAGATTTTTAGAGGATTAAACCACAATCATTTTAAAGTATGCCATTTCGAAATCGGATGTCAGCAACAAAAGTTATGGGCAGAAGAGCAGCTTTTAGGTCAATTTTCTACAAAGGAATTTTTCAAAAATTTGGATTGTATTTTTCATACTTCCATTTTTTTTTTATACAAATTACTCAGGTGAAGCCAGGAAGAGCACTATTATATTTTAATAAGAATGGAAACGAAGCAAATAGTTTTTTTTAACTTTTTTAATTTATTTCTTTGATTAACATTTTCAAAAATCTGCTTTCCCATGATGAAATGGCGGCTAATGTCAGCAGTTGTTCAAGATGGTTTGATTTATCCTGCCAATTATTGTCCCAGCTTAAGTCCCCATTTGTGGGCTTTGCCCGCTTGCCGATGCAAATGCTCATGCCATTGAATGCATTATTTTTCCAGCTAATCCCATGGAAACGGGGCACTTCGATAGTTGGTTTTTCTCCTCAGGCTGGTTGCGATGTCCTGCTTCCCGTTGCCATGACATCGACTGGCATTTGCCGGGCGAAATATGGCAGGACATTTGTCTAAAGGGCGGGCAGCTCAACTGTGCAGTGCGCTTATCAAATATCGTGTAATATAAATGTCCTGCTGGCTCCGGCAGACACGCATAAAGGTAGTTAGCGTGGAGAGGAAGCGGAAGTGGAGAAAGTGAAAGGCATTTCCGCAGACGAAACCGAACCGAGCGAGAGGGCACCAAAAAAGCACAATACAAAGGAAACAAAAAGGTAATCATCTGAGCGCGATGGGGGCGCCCAAAGTAGGCGGCAAAAACTGAAACAAATGAGTCTCTATAAATACACACGTAGCAATGCCCCATTCACATTCCTCAGCCCCCAATTTTATCCAAAGTTACAGCAAGTCACCGAGCGGAGAAAGGAAAAACTTTTCGCTATGTATGGGTGTCTGGGTATTTGTGTCTGTGACACAATGAAAAATGCAAAGCGCAAATGAGTTGAAAACTTTTCCATAAGTTTGTGTGCGTACGACGTGCAATCGCAAAATTAAAGGCGACTTTTAGGCTTCTTACAAAATCTGTGAACTTTGTTCAACAGATACGCGTAGACATAATGGCGAACCAAATTTTAAGTGGGTACATAAGCTGCCTTTCAAATTTTGTCCCGTCAAAGGGAATATTTCCCTGCCTTTTAGGCTTACGTTCGGCAAGAGTTAATACTACTCGCAATATTTACTATTTAGCCAACAAAAAACGCAATTTGAAGCAGCTCTACTTAACAAAGGGAATTGATAACAAGAAATCAAATTAAAAGGTAAAATTTTGTATAGTTTCCAATAAATTATATATAGTGCTGGTGGGCAATGCTCCTTACCATTTTACAAACATAATACAATTTATGTGGCTGCAAACGTAAGTAATCCTTGCCATTTCTCCCACATAAAGAGCATCTAATTATTGCTTTGCAGAATGTTAACACTTTCGCAATGGGAAGTCCCCCCAAAATTTGTTGGGAAAAGGGCTGTTTATCAGTGACAAGCCAAAGGCAAAAGAGACATGGGACTTAAGGCCGCTTTTCGCGGAGGTTCGTTAGCAGTGAAAGTGGGTGAGATCCACATCTGCTCGTGCTGCAAAATGTTAAGTAAACATTTAGAGACGGAAACGCAAATATTATTTGCATTTTAGTCGACTTCTTTTTAATGTGAAAAATAAATAACAACGTGTACAAACAATATGAGCGAATGCGGTTCCAGTTTAGAAATTCGGTTCGGCCTTCTTGGCAGCCAGTTTTTGCAGCAAAGTCAGGAAGCTGAAAGCCTGCGTTATAACCTAAAAAATATAAAGAATACATACAATGCTTTCCTCGAAAAATTACAAAAATAATTTAAGTTTCAGTGCCAAAATTGTTAAATCAATCCTTAAACCATTTGTGCTTTTTTGATTTTTTAAGAAACTCTTAGCATACATTATACATTAATATAATATTTTTAAAATTCAAAATGAATTTATGAAAGGTTGGAATAAATCATATAATAAAGTTACTTCGCAAATAAGAAGAGTAAGTCTAGATCTAACTATTGCGAATTCTTTGAAAATAAAAAAATAATTTTTTTTTAAAAACAAGGTCATGATTTTTGCTATATAAAAACTGCTTACCGATCTCAGCCGATTCACATCCATCACGTAGAACTTGCCGGCGGTCACGTGGACAGCCCGTCGACTGTTGACCAGGAAGATGAGGATATCCTGGGGGATGAGGTGGGCGTGCTTCCACCACGCCCCCCGCCAAAAAGCGTCTCCGGATCGAATGCTATGTCGGCTCAGCAACTCGCCGCAATAGGTAAACATCAAGAGCTCGAAGAGGGTCAGTCCCAGGTACTGCAACTGGTTGACAATCCGCAGGACCTCGCGAGTCCCCGACACGCCCACAAAGACCAGCAGGCAGAGCTGGAAGGTAATTTGCAGGGACTTCACCAGGCAATATGGGCTAAACAGGTTCTCCAGCTCAACGGAACAGTGCAGAATAAAGCGGTGCAGGCGGACGCACTCCACCAGGGCACTGTGGAACACATTCCCCTGGCCAGGATTTTTGCGACTTGAGCACATCATCAGCAGATCAGTTGGATGTTCCTGAAGCACGGCATATTGATTTAGCTCCCTGGTCGAGTCCTCCAGCAACAGCTCGTTTTGCAGCGAACTGAAAGGATAACACTATTATTAGATTGGTAGAATAATACATTCTGTTCATACAAAATATAAGGCTAGAATCAAGAGCATACTTTAAATTTCTAATTTTTGTTCATTGCTAAACATGTTTAATAGAAATTAGAGAAAAGTCTTCTGTTCAAGAAAACTGTTTTCATTTTTAAATCAAATTTTCCTAAAAAAAAACTGATAAAATAAATTGAATTTATCAATACCTAGATTAAGATTTTAAGTGAATTTGATTTAAGCACAAATTTAACTATTCTAATTCTTTAAATTTTTTTTTATTACTTTTATGTCTAACCACATAAATGATACCTTGAGCCTTAATTAATATGAAACCCTTTTAATTTAATATTTTTAGATAATTCATTGTTTCACTTCTATTCCATTTGATTCTCTCTGTGTAAGTATACCTACCTCAGGCTATTTACAGACTCCCCGGACAACAACTTGGCGTGGGCATCCAAGTTCTTCAGACTGCAGAAGAGCACATCGAACTGGCCCAGCAGCAGCAGGCTGAGGGTGACGAACAGCGATCCCCCGAAGCAAAAGGTCACGCCCACGAGGACCTGGCCAAAAAGCTGGGTGGCATACACCGCCGAATATGTCACGGGGGCCAGGGCGTCGAAGGGGTACCAACATTGTAGCGGCAGCATCCGGATGCCCAGCATCAATGGCGAAACGCCCCAGGAGATCACGCCCAGCAGGCAGGCCATCATCCACACGGCCGTGAAGTTCCTGGACTTCCTGAAGGACGCATGGCTGCTGACAAAGGTCACCCCGGCCAGTGAATGATGGCGATAGTCGCGGTTGATGTGCTCCATGTAGGCCAAAAGCCGCCGGGAGCGCAAACACCAGTAGATGGTCCCATAGCCCGTGAAAAAATATATAATTGTCATGGTGAGGGCATCGGTAATGGCCTGCAGCTCCCCCGTCGGCAGGACATCCAGTGTGGTCTTCGTAAACAGGACTCCCAAATGCAGCGACGTAAATATCACAATGGAACAATATGCTTTGGCCAAGAGCTTTCCGGCCAGTTGTAACCATTTTGGCCACCACTTGGGTAACCTGGGCGATGGCTTCATGCCCATCGCCAACTGCAGACTCATCAGCAGGCGGAATAAATTCGATTCCCTTGCCGGATCCAGGCCAATCTCATACCTTATGTCCGCATTAACGTTGCCGTGGAACTGAAGACTGGCCATCGACTGGTTTTTGTGGAATATAAGCCGAAATCGAACTGCTTATGGACTGATTGGGCCTTTCGGGACTGCTATTTAAGGGACCCTAAATTTATGCATTAATGAGTTTTTAAAAGTTTTCCTCGCCCCTTTTATGGAAAGGTGTCTGGTTGGGCGTGTCCCATAATTAACCCACTAAATGCCTAATTGCCTTTGAAAGTAGCCAAAGTTGGCGAATATTTCGAAATACATAGCTCAGTTTCAACACGAAGTATACTTATAAATTATAATTTACAATGGGTTCAAGGTTGTATTAAAAAATCGAAGAACAGTTAACGCGATTTATCTATGTGTGTTTATAATATTGAAGGTTGTCTGGGTGGGCGGGAATCATAATTACTCAATAAAATGACTAATTTCCCAAATATTTAAAAATATAAGACTGAAGTCAAGGAATATTTAACTTTATTTGTTATATACATAGTTTCAAAGGAATGTTTCTTACTACTCAGAAATTAAGTTTATACGGGATAAGAAGATGATTTCTTTACATAGCTATATTTAATATTCTCTATTATTAAAATATTAAAATTGTAAACTAAAAACACACAAAAAAAAAGAAATTTTTCCTAATTTTCATTTTTTGGTAAAACACCCAGGCATACAGCCATATATCAATTTCTTTTGTTTTTTTAATTAATGCATTTGCTGCAGCTGTCTATCAACTTTCTGTTGCAAGTGCTTAACTTTCTAATGAAAAATTAAAAGCTACTAAAATTGCTTATTGCATCTGTTTTTATTTCCAGTCACTTTTCTCTTTAATTGCCATTACGCGATTTTTCGCGATAAACAAATACGTCAAACTTGACCTTCGTGGGACAGAAATATCCTTAAAAACCAAAGCAGAGCAATTTGCATTTATTGAATGTGAATGTGGAAATCCATAGAGGTTATTACCCATGCCTAATTGCACCAGAGCCTTGACAGCGGCGTGGCATTCAACGTTCAATGAAAGGAAACGGGTGAAATGGCTCATAGAAAATGCTAATTGCCGAGTGAATTTCGCACACCTTGCAGGTGGCAAATACCAAGCCATATGTTGGCGTGTCGTGATCATGTAAATTAGTTCTGCCACCGAGGTATTTAATTAGCCCCAAGCGACATGCAATTAGTTTTACAAAATATTTAGCGAGCGGTTGAGGTTGACAGGTGGCTTTCAGCCGAAGTTCGGTGTGCAACTTTTGGCCGACCATCAAATGCGAACTAATTTAAGTCCCTGGGGGCCTTCACTTTATTTCCCAAAATCGTTACACACTGTTGGCGAAATGGAGGTCCTCAAATGGTCGGTTCGCAGGCACCCAGATTTATGTCTGAGTTATTTCGGGTGCTTGGCAGCTACTTGGCCAAATTGTTGCCTGGGCTGTAAATGGCCAAACTTTACAGCGTCCTCATCCTACGAATCCTGCGCAATCCTGCGGCAATCCTGGGCAATACGTTTTACGTGTGTCAGTCGGTTTCATTATATATGTATGCAGGCGGCCCGATCCGGTTTTTTTTTATTTTCAGTCTGTCAGCCTGTTCTCACGCATGTCGAGAGTTGTTTCGAGTGAATTTCACCTGCTGTGATTTATTCAATCAACTTGTGCGACGTCCCACAACAGCTCAGGTTGCCTTTATTATTTAGACATCTTTGTTGTCTCCGCCGATGCGATGCGCCTTATGCGAGTTTAATGTCACTCGCCGGGCTAAACAAACTTGACTGCCACATTTAATCTGCATAATTTTTATGAAAATTACAAAGAAGAACAGACAAGAAGACAGTGAAAGAGATACAATTTCACTCATAGCGAATCAAATTACTTTCAAGATGTTTCACCATTTGAGAAGCTACTTTAATTGCCGTCACACGCGGCGTATACGTAATGAAAATTTTCATTCATCGAATTCTTTCTTTCTTTATTTTTCTTATTTCCTCTATTGAACCTAAATGTGCAAATTGTAGTTCGGCGAATACTGTGAATGAATGTTTTATTTATCTAGAGGTTTTTTATTGAAATAATGAGAGGTTATAAAAATTAAACGTTCAATTGGAAGTTTTTCGTATATCTGCAACTAAGTAATTAAAATAGTGTAACTGTAAAATTATTATTCAAATCAAATTTCATTTTTTACTCACTCTATTAAATGTGCATTTATTAAAAACTTTTTTATATTTTATAACCAATGCATAATTTGTTTTGTAAAAAACACTCGTAAGGAAACAAATAAACTTTTTGGTATGAAATATTAATATCAGTTTTTTTAAGCATGCTTGTCAAAAATTGATTGAAATAGTTTTGCTGCAAATCTCTTCTTTTTTACACACACACACACTACCATTTTAATTCGCCTTTATCATATATTCCCGTAATCCAGTAATAAAATAAAATTAACAAAAAAATAGTGCATTCATTTCGCTTTGCACACGTTTTAATTAAATGTCGCAACGTATGAAAATAAAATAGATTCCCCGCCACCTGCAAAAATATTTGTAGAGCTTTTGCGAGTATATCGCCACCCCTGCAACCAATATCATCAGGATTCCAAAGGACCTGAAGCCACACCGGCGCTTGGTGCGATTGCATTGTGTGCGGCAAACTTTTTAATTAGTTGCGCTGGCCAATTTTTCGGCGGGGGCCAAATGCTGTAATTGCAATTGAGTGTTGCAGGGGGCAGATGGCAGATGGTCCGCGAGAGTGGACCACACGGACATCGCTAATTTGGCGCCGCCAGAAAAGCGGGAAATGCGGAAAGCGGGACGGGTGAGTCAATCAGTTGGCCATTTGGGTGGCCAGGTGGGTCGTGGCGCGGGTTCCGGGCCACTTCTGCCAAAGGTCCTCCAGTCACGCGCTCCGCTCGCCTCATGTTTGCTAATTTATGCGCCACTGCAGCCGCAGGGCGACGGTAAACAGCGAACGGCAAAAGTTTCCCAACTGGCACTGAACAAAAAGGTGAGGAAAGGTGAGGCCAAAATGGGAAGCCGAATCTTAGAATACTCTTTCCGAAAAATACCCAGGGGCATCAGCGATTTTGGACCAGGTCTTTGGGAATAAAACACCACTCTGATCACATCTGCATTATTATTTTTGCTTTCAAACAAATCTGATCCTTAAATATACCATAATAATACATTTTAATGTGTACCTTCTTCTTTACCTTCTTATTTGTGCCTCTTACAAATAAACACATAAAAAATATAGAGACATATATTGCATTTATTTTAGCGATAAATTAAACATTTTTTCCTGTTGATAATTTTACAAGCAAATAGCAAAATCACTATGAACTATGGTACCTCTGAAGCTTTTAAAAATTTAAAAACGCACAATTTTAAATATCAATCAACATATTAAAATTTTGCTATGATCCTCATTCTAATATTCTTTAATTAAATATTAAACCAGTTGTAAGTTTATGAAGGGCCAAATTGGCTTTTGATGTTAGTATATTTTTGACATTTTTTGATGTTTTTTGATTATGCAGACCTCGAATACAGTAAATACCGCAAAGGGTAATTGTTTGTTCAAAGCGTTACACCCTATACAAGGGTATAAAAAACGGCACTGATGGAAAAGCGGAAAACGAAATGGAAATGAGAAGTGGAAAATGGGAAACAGGAACAGGATCGGAAGAGCTCTGGCTCCTGGCAACGCCTGTCATTGTTTTTGCCGCTCTTGTTCGCGCTTTAAACTTTGCTCTCGCTTCGATTCCCCGCCCACATTCATTACACATTGATGGCCAAGTCCTCCCCCTGTTGTCCTTCAACCTCCCACTCCACCCACTTCATTCACATCACCTACTCCTCATCCGCTTTACAGTCAAATGTTGCCTTTTATTTCCCTCGGCCGCTGAACAAAACAATTTGTCAAACAACAAGCGAAAAACTTTCTTCTCTCGAGGGAGGTGCAGGCTCAACACATTTCCTCTTTTATGAGAGCAAGTTAACCCTATGGAAAAAAATTTTGAATTAATAGAAAAACTTTTAGTTACACTTTTCCTAGTTAAATTTAATTCGATTCCATAAATTATTTCATTTGCATTTAATACCGAAGTCGTGGGACCTTCTACAGATATACATAGTAAAGTGAAAGTTCATTATTAGGGAAGAACAATTTTAAATCAAAAATGTTACATTGAAAAAATACTCTTTAAAACTTTACCTTTTAGAGTGTTGCAATTAAAAATGCAAAGTAGTAAATCTAAGTATAAAAAAATAAATTATTAATTACTATATAAATTTTTTACAAATATATATAAATCAATTCACTATCACAAATAAGGATACTGAATGTCAGAGGGTTAAGCTCCAATAAATGTGTTCCCTGAAGTGGGTGGAATACACCAGATTCTTTAAACTTTAAGTTAAGTTGGCAACCGATACGATGAACTCAAACTGCCTGAGTACAAATGCTCGACTCGCATAGTTGACATCCCTCGAAGGCTTCACTTGAATTTGCACAGTTTGTTAGGTCGTTTTGTTCGGCAATTTCGTGATGCCTGGCAAATAAAGTTTCTAATGCAATTTTGTTAAATATTTTTGCTCTGATTTCGTTTGCACACCTCCCACATAATAGTTAAGCACCCACCACGATCAAAATGCCCCAACTAAGCTCGGCGGACGAGGACGGCACTTTTTATTTTGGCAAGTGAAAACTAAACTTTCCGACCTGCCAAATTGAGTTTGGAAGTTGCAAACTGTCTCAACTGACAGGCCACACATATGAGGCTAATTCAATTTGAGGTAAGTGGTGGCACTTTCTGTCCCTATCGTCACGCCCACCCAAGGCCAACCCGAACTACAATAACAATTAGCATTAACACATTGATGAGGCGCCACCACTTTTCCCCGCCTCTGCGGTTTGTTGTCCTAGTAAATGTGGCCGGGATTTACTTTGGCGCGTGTCTCGAAAAACGGGAGCAAACTTAATTACAGCCAGGATCTGCAGCAGCAGCAGCAGCAGCTGCTTGTTAATGCGGTTTTGGGGGAATCCCCACGTTCAACTTTGGTTTATTAGTTGGCCCTTCCTCTTCATCCTTCTGCGGCAGCCTTCACAAATGTTTCACTGTAATTAACGCCCACGGTTAGGCAAACAAAAAGCCGTCTAAACACACGCGACTAGAAGGCCCTGCATTGGCAAAACTCAGCCAAGTGTTACTTGCTTTGCGGTTCAGCGAGAATCGAGCAAAATGGTTTGGAAGTGTCTAAAACGAATTAACATTAATTGTGCTTAAAACAAAACAGTCTTATTAAAATAACAAAGGAAAATCTAAGAAAGTAAACCTGTGATAACAATGTCTAAAGAAAAGATTTCTTTTTACTGCATTCTCTTAAACACCTTTATTATTTGAATTTTATTATAGTTTAAAACTGAATATTTATAAAGTCTGTTCACTTATCTATTCAATTTGTCATGCAAACCCATATATTAAATAGTAAATAAATGCACAAAATACATAAAACTGAAAAATATATTAAAGAAATCAGAGGATTTGTTTGAATGAATGAAAATCAAAGAGGGAAAAATAACAAATTAAAACCACTTTCGGCCAATTCACTAGCTTGAAGTTGGAGTCAAAGAGGAATTCGTATTTCTGAGAATCGCCTTCCAATTTGGGTACCGAATATGTGCTCATTAAAATCTAATTTCGTATGCAGGCGAACAAAGCCGTCTGTCTGCAATTGAAAGAATCAGTTAACACAGAAAGCAGAGACCTTGACTGCAGCAAGCAGGCCAATGGGTGAACAGGTAAATAGGTAAATGGAAGACCAGACAGCACAAGCTGTGGCCAGTCCTGGCATTCAAGCACCTGCCTGCCCTAATATTCAATTAATCACATTATGCAGGCTGTCGACTCGGATTAGCCGACCTTTCCTGGGTCCCAAGTAACACAGTAATCAAGAATAACCGAATCCGAATCTGAATCCGAATCCGAATCTAAAACCGAGCAACGTCCTGGCTTGTTATACAAATAACTGGTCGCCAGTCAATTACGGCGACTGGCCAAGAAAATCCAACTAAATATTTTATTATGAGCCAGCGTTTGTCTTGATTATGCGCCAACTCGCTGGAGGGAGCGTAACTAATTGAAAACTTGCAAAAGTTTTTCTCATTAATAATAAGAGAGGCCCAGAGCCCTCGCGACTATTTGCTTACGAGGCGAAGTAGCTTCTCGTCCTTCGTCCTGTTCGCCAGTCGGTTTGATTTGTTGTAAATGATTTAATTACTTATTGCAAGGCGCTGGAAAGACTATTATCAACTTGGATGCCCGCCAGGCCGCACTAAACACGCGTATTAGATTAATGTTGTAATTACACAGTCATCCCAATCTTAAGATGCCCTACTGAAATATATCTATAATCTATACAGTTGTTTTTAAAGTGATAGGAAATAATATTTTTATACCGCTTTTTTTAATAACTCTTTAAAATTTCCTTGGTTTAAAAATACATCATTAAAAGATTTATTTCACAAAACGCATTTATAATCCGTATAAATTTTAGTTTCATGTTTCTGGAAAACTATTTAATGTAGTAAAGAAATTAAAGAAATCAACAGCATATTAACATCTGATGAGGTTGCAAACTATGTAAAATATATCCAATTTGTAAAAAAGTATATTTTTTCATTACTAATGGTACTAATAGTTTGCCCATAGCTGTGTGTACCCCCCACTTCATCCTTCCTAGTATTTTGAAGCGTTAACGAGTCGCAATCGCTTATTGCTTACTTTTAAGCTCCCGTCGAGGGGCTTCCTCCTTATTCCGCAGGATTCACGTTGGCAAGGACGCAGCTCCTGCTATTGAATTATGCATATTTCGTTGCAGGCAGCAGAGCTTAAAGTGAAATGGTGGCTGGAGGCTGGCTGCCCAGACAGCAATCTATTCGTTTGTCAGTCGTCTACGGTGAGGGGAAATGGTTATGGGACGGAGGGGTGGCAAATAGAATTATTACCTCGGCAAAGTGCTGATAAATTGTATTTGCAACAAGTCAATGATTAAGTAATTTAATACGACAACAACTACATGGCCAGGTGACCAGCAGTCAATATTTTTATTTGACTTGGCACCGTACTCTATTTATTTTCATTATATTGGTTTTTATACAATATTAATACAAGTTATATAATTAAATTTTAAAATACGTATAATCAAAACAAAAAAAAACAATGTAAAAAGAATAAATTTCCAAAAAATCCTTCGAGCCGGATTTGAACCAGCGACCTATGGATGTCTATTATATGTTTTCCAACTACAGTCCACCGCTCTACCAACTGAGCTATCGAAGGTCGGTGGGGGGCGCCGCGCTGGGGAGATTCATTTGGAGTCAGGTATCCATGTCTTTGGATCCGGAAAATATTATATATAGCTATATTAAAAAAACATAATTAATTTTTAGGTTATGAACTTTTGAATTGTATTTCTTAGTCCAAAGTCTTTTGTTCAGTTTAAAATATATTTTGGAAGATCGTTTCAGTATTACTTTTCAGACTTTTAACTTTTTTTTTAGATTTTTCTCTTATTGTCTTTGTGTGTTATAGATTCGAATAATCTTAAATTAATTCTACAAATTTATTAATAAAAACATTCGTATAAAAATAAAACAAAAAATCCTTCGAGCCGGATTTGAACCAGCGACCTATGGATTTCTATTGTACATTTTCCAGCTACAGTCCACCGCTCTACCAACTGAGCTATCGAAGGTTGAGTTTATGGGCGACCAATGTGAGTTTTGTGTAAAAGCACAAGCAAGACGAAGTCATTGTTCAAAGAAACCACATCGATCGCAATTAATAGCGTCACGTTTTTGATAAGCAACAGGTTTATAAATAAAATATATAAAATATAGTGGCGCATACCTCAAATGTATTTTATCTGAAAAAGTCTTACATTTTGACAATTGTTCAGGCATTTTATAGTTATTTTATTATAATTTATATAATCTAATCGCACTTAATTTTAATTATTTTTAATATCAATCTTGTATCTCAAATTCATTTTAAAATATATTTCAATATTGGAATTCTCCATATAGATAGAGATGTAACTCAGGATAAACAGTTAATAGCATTCCAATCGGGTAATGAAAGGTGATAAATTTGCAGAATGCCTTGAACCCCCTTTGCAATCACTTTTGCAGATTCTTCGAAGGCAGGAACTTTGACCAGCCATCAGTTGCAATAGATAGCATCACACCCAACGAGCCAGCCTTCCAAAGAATTCAATCAATTATGTTACGTAATACGTATACGCAACGTATGCTGTAAAGTTGTGGGAGAGCACAAACAAGTGCAAACTAAAATCCATTATGGCCATTTGCAAGCTGGCAATTTGCGCAAGAGAAGAAGAGGACTTCGTTAACGAGGCCAACAGATAAAGTGAAACAAACTCAATTTCCTACGCAAAGAAAATGCAACAAAAATGGCCTTTTTAATTGAAAAATTACAGCAACAAATTGAGGGGCATAACCCTTCCTATTATCTTCGCTCCACTCGACATAGCGGGTAATCACGTAGCTTTAGGGAGATATTGCCCTTGACCAGGAGTTCCTCCAGCCGTGCCTCAGTGCTAATTCGATAGCTGCGAAAGATCCTGGCCAGCAGCAGTTTCATCAGCATCTGGGCATATCGGTAGCCGATGCACATGCGCAATCCCTTTGTGAATGGAACAAAAGCAAAGGCGTGCCTTTGTGGCGAACCCAGACCGAAATGTGCCTCCGGGTTGTAGGTACGCGAAAGTGGTCCCCAAACCCGTTCGTCCCGCTGCATATTGTAGATGTCAATGCCGATCTGGGTGCCACGAGGAATCAGGAACTCCCCGTCATCCCGCCGCAGTTGGACATCCTGTTCCGCCGCCCGCAGGACCATCGGCACAGGAGCAAACAAACGCATTGCCTCGTTTATGACCATTTCAGTGTACTCCAGTCGTTGTAGTTGCTCCAAGGATATGTCGCCAGTGGGCGGTAGCTCTCTGACCAGCTCCTCGTGGAGCTTCTCCTGGTAGCAGGGATGCATGGCGAGGCAGAGAATGGTGAAGTACAGGGCTGTCGATGTGGTCTCAAAAGTCTAAAATGAGAACGTTAAATGAGCCGGATTTTCTTTTTATAGTCCTTTATAATTATCCCTTGACCTACCGCTGCAATTGTCACATTGGCCTCATCCCTCACATCCTGCCAACTCAGCTGGCCGCGCTCCACATGCTCCCGCATTTGCTCAATAAAAATGGCCTTGGACTTGCCCTTCATCTCCAGTTCCGATGGCTGCTGCTCCGGCTTAGCATTGGCAGCCACCACTGAAACAATCGGTTCGAGTAGCTGCCGGAAAAGGTAACATTTGGGTCATGGGCCAAACACTGATCGAATGAGCTTACCTGTTCTATAAACCCAAAGAGTATGCCGACAACCTTTTGCTGCAGGGCAAAGAGTCGCGAGCCCCGGTATATGAGCTCCGGATAAAGCCAGGGTGATAGCATTCGTTTCACACACACTTCTGTTAAGCTAAGAGAAAATAAAATATCAATATATTCTTTATCATATATCAACCACCATCCAATTATTATGATAGAAGACTTTAAATTCACCTATTTCAAAGCATCAACTTTAAATTATTAAATCTTTAAAACTCAAATTTAATATGTATTAAAAGTATATTCACTCACCCATTATAAGCCTCAAATATGGCAATAGATCCGTCATGCTGGAAATTCATTTTCTTGCCCATTGTTGTTTCTGAAAAAAAATTATTGAAAATTTAAGGAACTCAAACTACAGTAACTACTCACGACAAGCTGCTTCCAGGACGATTTTCTTGAGGATTTGATAGATCTCCAGCCGCTTGCCATGCTGCACACCCTCCAGTTCCAGCTTTTGCAACAGGACCTGGGCCTCGGCATTGAAGATGGGCAGGAAGTTGCTGAGAATCTGGCGACCAAAGGCGGGATTAATGAGTCGACGATGTTTGTGCCAACGCGGAGAACTGGAGGTGAACAGTCCGTCCCCTATAGCCGAACTCATGAATCGATAGAAATCGCCCTTATTGGTGCAGTGCGTCGAATTAAATATCTGCTCCACGCTGTGTGGGTCGTTGATGTAGAGAAAGCAGTTAGTGCCCATCCAGGAAATGAATGGGGCCTTGAACTGTCGCGACAGGCCATCCATGTACTGCAAAAAGGCTGCAAAAAAACTTGAGTTATCAAGTGCCTTTAGGCATTCCTCTTTACTCTTACTCTCAGGGTTCATCATTTGTAAGCCCATGCCGATGAGGGGCCAGCCAATAGGTCCTCTTAACTGCCACGCCGCTTTATAATATCTCCGTCGGCTCCACAGGAAGTATATCCAAACCAGCAGTAGCCAGCCGATTAAAATGATGCAGGCCAGCATGTCGTTGAACTTGGTAGACTACACCTATCCGTATTCCAAAATTGAATTGCTGTTCGGCCAACGTTCCACAGCAAACTGAAGCACCTATCTCCAGCTCAAAGCTCCATTCAGATTTCTATATGAATGGCGGGCACAAGTTATCAATGGATGCCCAAAACATCAAACAATATTAGCCAGACTAATTGACCGATTTTTGGAATTTTACTCAGTTAAGCTCGTAAAAACAACCTTTTCGCTTGACTGTGCGTCTACAACTCATCGGGTGTTTCCTGCTTTTCACCTCATATTCTGCCAAAAGTCGGTCGAAAAGGGGGTTTGTGTACCTATGTATGTCTGCATTCAAATTTACGTATTTTCTAGCTGAGGATTACGCATTTGCGGCTTTAATGCGGCGCTTTTCATGCCCACCACGTTGTGGGGCGATTCTCGTTTGGGCGCCGATTTTCATTCGAGTCGCGTCGCGTGCCCCTCAAAATTATGCCAGTCAATAATAATATGCACCAGGCCAAAGACATGAAAATAGCAGATATTGCTGTGATTTTAGATACAACGAACAAAAAATGCTCTAACCAAGATATTGGCGTGGCAATATACATATAACGTAAATAAAAAGGAACTAAATATATATTTAAAAAAATTTAAGGTTCATAATTATTTAATTTCTGTTTTTAATAACTTCTAAAAACGGTGACTTTTAGTTTTGATTTTGTTTTTTAGTTATTATTTGTGAAATAAAGAAGTAAATTCAAAAAACTTGTATAAGTAATGCAGGAGCATCGCCTTTATAATTTGAGTGTTCTTGGATTACACTTCGACTTAGTAATTGGTTGGTTATATATACATACGTATACGTCAGTGGAGTGGGCGTGTCCGGCAATAAGTCCCAATGCCCAATCACATCCCCATTTACACAGCTATTACGCATTAATTGAGTTTTTGAATTATAATTTTTATTTGCTATTAATATTTTTACAAATTGTTTTATTTGTGGTGTTTTGCTTTTTCAATTTTGTTCAACAGTACTATGTTACTTATCTGTGTGTATTTGCCATGACATTGAATCGTTTCCTTTCGGTGTTTGGTTATCCTTGTGTAATTTTATTTAATGCCGAGTTGGAGACACAAGCCGGGGTTATTTGTATAGGCTGTTAGTTAGTAAAACTTAGTGCGCTAAGTGTAGAGTGAGCGTCTCCGGATTCTGCAATGGTTTTTACTTAGGATCTGGACCCGAATATTGGGCTCCCACAAATATTCAGAAATTTAGCACTCTGTTCTTACTTGTAAGCTAGGTTTAAAAGTTTGCAAATATTAATATTGTTGTGGACGTTGCGTTTCCAGTTTTGTCATTGGTTAGATTTAGTTAAGAGCTTTAGGTTGTGGCATAAATTTGCGATTTAATTTTATATTTAAAGGCTTTGGATCAATGGAAGCCAATCTTAGGGGTTTTGGTGTTAAATTTCACTTGGGAATCGGGTTCGAGATTGATAGACATAGCTACCGTTCTTGACTTGCAGCTAGTTCATAGATTAGTATATAAATATTTGCCAGTCATATGCCCTTAGTATATCTACCATATATACACAATCCATATGCCCTTGCCGTATCCTCTCAAGGGACCTTAAGGTTTTCTTACTTTACAAATAAATTATACTCCATTTATTGTCAAAAATATTGACGACTCGCGATTGCATTATTCCTGGCATTACACATGAGTTGTATAATATGATTATTACCTCTACCTCTAGTTTTATCAAAAGTGATCTGCCCAAGTACTTAGGTAATTGTTTTCAACCATACCTCCTTCTGATTAGGGTATTAAATTCAACTTTGTGGTCAATAAGTACGCCACCATTGTCATTCTTTGTCTGCAACCATAGAAACTATTTCATCAGAGATGTAGGCCCTTCACTAATGTGGTTATTGAATGGAATGTTAATTAATTTCATCTTAGATTATTCCAATGCATATGCTTCCTTTCGTTAATTAATATTTGTTTATTATAAATACTATTCCAAGGGCGAGCAAGTCTCGGCTGGCCGAACATTGCTTACCAAGTCTATTTGCGAATTCTAGGATGTTTGTGGGCTTAATAAAAATATATTTCATATATGAATATATTCGCTCTAAATGCTGCTGTTGGATTTTATTTGGCAAACAAACTTTAAAAAAATAAAAGAAAATGGCTGCAGGCTCTTGTTGCTTTGCTTACTCTATATGCAACCCGTGCAAATATATTATGCATGTATATATATGTATACAAAATAAACTTTGCTTTCACATTGACGCTTGCATAAAAATGTTAATCAAAAAACATTGGTTTTAGTATTTGTTTACTTTTTTTTGTTGTTGTTGTTTTGAGACGGGGACAAAGACGGTGCAATTGTTTGGCTGTGTATCTTTTTGGGGAGGGATGGCATGGTGTATGCAGTACGGCTATATAAGCGTGGGATTAAAAGCTATGCTAAGGATTATAAATGGCTTATGAGTTTTGATTAAATTTAAATTGTAGTTCTCTTGGTGAGTTTTTATCATTTCGGTTTATACTTAGGCACAATACATTTATTTTGTTTTATTTTCAGTTTTCACATGACTTTTGTTTTTTGTAGCTGTAACTTTTTGCTAAATATTTTTGCTTTGCTTACAACTAATTACTACGCATAAAAACGTGTGTATATGTGTGTAGTGTGTGAATGTGTCGGTGTTGTGGCTAATTATTTTATATATTATCGGATTAATTTTGCATTTTTCTGCAATAATTTCAACTACAATTTAAACATCTCAGCCGCTTGGCAATTATTTAAAGCTTTTCACAATCATTTTCATATAAGCAAATTAAAAAATATAATAGGATTACAAAATCTGTTCAATAAATTATTTATAATTCAATAGTTCTTTTAAACTATTTTTTTACGCTCAATTAACACGTATTGGTGTTTCAGTTAGTTTTGTATGGGTAGTTAACCTTTGCATTTTCTTTTACAAATTTCGTTTTCACGAATTTTTTTACAAATATTGCTTAAGTTTCGCATGTGGTTGCTTATTAAAGCAAAATGCATTACCAATTGGTCTTGTATCATCAAAAATGATAGAAAAATCAACCGGATTATAAAATGCTTGCTTGACTGAAGGTAAATAGGCATTGAACTGTGAGTACAAAGCTGGTCAATTTATTGGCCGGAGTACTCGAGTATACCCGATGTTTGCCTGTTTTTAACACAAATTTATTTTTAAAACAAATACAAAAATTATTGAATTACAATAGGCTTTTTAGGGATTTTAAACTATACACACATTTTGCTTACTGTCGCTTACACACTTTTTGCTTAGTTTTGTTTTGTCTGTTTAACAAAATATGCGCTACGTTTTCTACGAATGCTACAAAGTAGACAACAATTTTAATTTTTTCTGCTTCTCCTTCTGCTTAGTTTGTTTGTTGTTGTTCTTGTTGATACTTAGATAAATTATGACTTGCTTCTTTGCATAGGGTGATTAACTCTCCGCTTGCTGGTTAGCCGTAAACTGCGTGATGCCGTCCTTCTCCATGGATTCCAGGATGTCGGCCACGTACACGGCCACATCGGTGTGGCTCGTCTCACCGCGACGGATGAAGGGCATCTCCAGTAGGCGGCTGTACTTGGGCCTATCGCTCTCCTTTTTGATCAGGCTGATTGGATGGATTGTAACATTATTAGATGTTCATTCATAGCCCTTCAGATTTTATTGAAGCTTACCAAGTATTGACAAAGTCCACAAACTCTTTGGAAAACTCCATGCCGTTGTAGGAGGTCAATAGTCTCGGCGGTTCACCTTGCACAACCTAGTAAAATTTGAATATTAATAAAATAAGGAATGCCCCATGCACAAGTGATCGCTTTCTAAACATATTTGACATGGATTTTAGTTTGCCTTGAACCCCGATGTTTGATCTCGCTTTGTCAGAGATGGTACACTATATCAACATTAAACAAAATAATAAGATCGGTGGCAAATTAAATAAGTAATTAGTCTATCTGCGTTATCTCTTTTCAGATCGCATTATTTCCTTTCCGGTTCCCATAATGAAAAATTAATTTTTACATTTTAATTATTAAAGACTATTTTAAAATCACTTACGATAACGTTAATATTCCTAAGAATTTGTCTTCTTACCTGGCACAATTGCTCGAAGACCGAGTCCCATTTGCGATAGGGGAAATTGCCTGTCGCCACCTCCATCAAAGTGATGCCCAATGACCAAACATCGCTTCGAACATCGTAGCCCTTAGCGCGCTCCGGATCAATGCGTTCCGGCTGCAGAGAATGTATAGAATTATAGTAAGCTGACTGAAGAAGATAAGTGTTTCATTACCGCCATGTAGGGCCTGCAGCCCGCATCCTTGGTTTTGGCAATGGAGTCAACCAGCTGACCCGAAATGCCAAAATCACACAGTTTTATGTCTCCGCGACGGTGCAGTAGAATATTGCTCGGCTTGACATCCCGATGGATGATTTTAAGCTCTTCCTTCAGATAGTTGAGGGCATTCACCGTGGCCACCGTGATCTTAGCCAGTATAGACTCCGGAATGTGACGCTGCTGCTTCTCATATATGTACTTATAAAACTTATCCAACGATGTGTCCATCAGTTCCATGCAAATCCAGCAGTCGCCCTCTTTAAAAAGGGCCCCATAAAACTGAACGATGTAGATGCACTCGTTGGACTTCATGACCACCTCGAGATCCATGAGTAGCTGCTTCTGTTCCTTCTCATCGACGGTGGAGCGAATGCGCTTAACGGCCATTACCTTGTCCAATTTCTTGAAAATCATCTTGTTGACCGCCCCAAAGGCTCCCCGTCCAATTTCACCCTCATCCTCGAGATCGTCCGAAGTGAAAGTGTGTGTGTTGGCGGCGCCCTCGCCGAACTGAAGCTTGCCGCAAGCCTGCTGGCGAATGCGCTCCCGGTGGCGATCGGCGGCAGTGCTGCTCGAAGTCGAAGTTGCCGGAACCGCGGGCACATGACTGCTGACCACCGGCGGAGCCTGTTGAGGCTGCTGGGCACCAAAGCAGCGGGTCACAGGGTTGTGCTGCGACGAGGAACTTGAGCCCGATGAAGTGGAACCCGACGAGGTGGACGACGTGGACGAGGGCGGATGGCGAATGCTGAGGTTGTTCAGGCTTAGCTGATCCGGGGGAGTGCGGACGCGGCTGGATCCGGCTGGAAAGTGAAGGAAAATGGAGAATGTAGGAGGATTTATGGATGGCTTATCTCCGCTGCACCAGTTTCCCCAGCTATGCGTCACCCATCATCGAATGTGTGTACCTCCTAGTATGCCTGCATGTGTGTGACATGCGTGGGCGTGCGAAACCTTTTTATACTCACTTGCAAACAAATTTTTCGGTCGCTCTGCCATTGTGTGTGCTGGCTGAAAGTATCGATGTCCCTTTGTGTGTGGCTGTCCTAAGGATGTTTTGTCCGTTTTCTACAGGCGCCGCGCCCCGAATGAAACAAGTCGACTTGGGCTTCCTTTGGCCCGCCAATCACTTGGCTACTAGGCCGCCTTTGATGGGCTCTTCGCCGGATGCAACGCAGCTACTTTTTCAGCAATCGAGCACACTGATATGCACTTTTTTCGCAAATTTGCTAAACATTTACATAAATAGCAACCAAAACTTAAAAGAGCTAGAGATGAAACATTGATTATTTGCGGCCTATCGATAGGGCACCGCACAGCGCTCGATAGGGCTGCAGGGTAAGTGCCGATAGTCAGCCCTGCACGATGGAAGAATTTTGAGGTGACAATTATATTAAGAATTATCTAAAACATTATTTTATAGGTCAAACAGACAACATATATAGCAGAACAGAAGAATTTATAGTCCTTTGCATATACAAAAGGGTGACTATGTATCATGTCCTTGACATCCACCTTAATTACGATTTGTAGCCAAAGTAACAATTGACGTCACGAAGTATCAACCTCCACCACCTATTTATCAGTACACCATTCTTAAGCCGCACTAAAGGAAAACATATCCATAATCATGTCCACCGGATTCGCGCGGAGCTACAAATTGTTTGTCGGCAACCTGCCGTGGACGATCGGCAGCAAGGAGCTGCGGACATACTTCTCGAAATATGGGCACGTGGCCAACGCGGAGGTGGTCTTCGACCGACAACTGGGCCTCTCCAAGCACTACGGATTCGTGGTGTTCAGCCAGCGGGATGCCTTCAACAGCGCGAGCAACCAAAACACCCACTTCCTGGAAGGACGCGTGCTTACTGTACAGCGAGCCAATGAAAGTCCTTGAGCACTATGGATAATTCGACTGATTTACTAGTTATACCAAAAAGAGACCAGGAAAGATGGCAGTGAAACAGCTTAGTTGTACACAAATGCAGCGAATGAAGAGGAATTTGCTCAGAGCTCGGTTATTGTTGTCTTATTTCTTGGCCAGGTAGAACTTGCAGTTGGTGCCCACCACGTCCGCCACATTGGTGTATCCCTGCTGGGTTATCAACGCCGACAGCTCCGCCTTGATGTTCTCCACGAGAGCGGGACCCTCGTAAACCAAAGCGGTGTAGACCTGGACGTAGGAGGCACCGGCCTCGATCTTCTCGTAGGCATCGCTTCCAGTGGCTATGCCGCCGACGCCAATGATGGGTACCTTGCCATCGGTGAGTTGATACATCTGGGCAATCATCACCGTGGAGAGAGACTTTAGTGGGGGCCCACTCAAGCCGCCTGCTTCCTCGGCCAGCTTGCTTGATTCAATCTGATCCCGCGACACCGTCGTGTTGGACACAATCAGACCATCCACGCGGCTCTTCTTGCGCTTGATCACCCAAACAATGTCTTTCATGTCGTCCAGCGACAGATCCGGCGAGAGTTTCAGGAAGATGGGCACATTCTTGTTTTTGTCCAGTGAGGATCGGGTGTCGTTCACCTCTTCCAGGAGTTCCCTTAGCTTATCCTTGGTCTGCATATCCCGCAGGCCTTTTGTGTTTGGACTGCTTACGTTTATGACCAGGTAATCCGCTACAGGACCGAAAACGCGCACACCCTGCACGTAATCCGCAATCGGGCTCATGGTGCTCTTGTTCCGGCCCAGATTGACGCCAACCACACCGTTGAAGTCCTCCTTGCTGCGGAGCAAGCGAAGCCTTTGGAGCACAGCCTGGTGTCCCTCGCTGTTAAACCCGTACCTGTTGATGATGGCCTTCTCCTCCGCCAGCCGGAAGACCCTCGGCTTGGGATTGCCCTCCTGGGCGACCGGGGTGACAGTACCCACTTCTATAAAGCCAAATCCTAGATCCTGCAGGCCGCCCACCGCCTCCGCGTTTTTGTCGAATCCGGCAGCAATGCCAATGGGATTGCTCAGCATCCGCCCAAAGAAAGGGGTGTGCAGATTCTGCTCATCCTCGTACTGGGACACCGGACACACGCGGTACTTGCAGGCCAGCACGGCCAGCTGGTGACTGGTTTCCGCAGGAAGGAGGCGCACCGCAGGCATTACGAACGTGCGGACCAACTGGTCCTGCTTTTTGTAAGCCGCAATTCCCGCCACCAAAGCCGCTGCTCCTGCCGTAACGATTCCCAGCGATCGCAGCCGACCCTGTGGGATTAAGCTCTTAATGATTCCCATCAATTTAAGCCGTACCTTTACTCACAATCCTACGGGTTGCGTTTTTTGCATTCTTCAAGTGATCCTGATCCATGGCGACTATCGCTGACTATCGATTATGGATAGAGCGGGAACTAACTGGTTTGGTCAAGTGTTAAAAAAAAGTACAAAAATATGTGTAGATTGCACGAGACTTTAAAATAATTTCAATTTGGGAAAGAGTTTTCTTCATTTTGAGAGATTTTTCATGTCGGATCTTACACAGAAAATAACCAGTTTTTTATTAAGTCAAATTTTACAAAAAGACATGGTTGTTTTATTTTTAAATCGGGTAAATTTCAAAACGTAAATGAAGTGATCATTATTCATAACAAATTTTCTTTCTGTGTCCCCTTTTTTTGCGACGACCCTCCCCAAAGCAATCGATAATCATTACCTTGCGCCCAGTGTCATCTCTAAAGATTGAGTCAGTTTGTTATGGCCAGCTGAAATTTGGAAATTTCGCATTTTAACTGCAGATTTGGAAACCCAGGGCAACCATGAAGGGCGGAACCTTTCGCAACACCCAGTGGGATCCCACGCTGCTGTCGTCACAGATCGTATCGATGCAGTTCTGCGTGTACTTCACACTCGGCCTACTCGTCTTCGTGGCCAACAAGTTGTCCGGGGATAACTACAGCCTGGATCATTTGTTCGAGTACCATGTATGCTGATTGGAACCCTGATGCGGGAATCCTTGTAGTAACTAATTTATTCCATTCTAGGAAATCCACATCTACGATTTGGGCGGCAGACTGGTGATATGCGCCTTCGTCTTGAATGCTTTCCTGGCCTCGCTGGCACTCTGGTGCATAGTGAGACGGGCCAAGCTTTGTCTGGACTTTAGGTGGGCATCTCAAATATATACATATACAGGATAGAAGAGTCGTATGAGTTAATTTTGACCTCCAATTACTTATAAAAGTAATTATCTTCCAAGCCTTAAGACAATATTAAAAGCATTGCGTTGCAGCTATACATAAGGCAGCCAAATTCCAAGTTATTTAAAGCTATGATATATAATTAAGATATATTGCTTAAAAAAAGAGAGAGTAGTTTGTAAAGTTTTGAAATTCCAACTTACCCCTCTGTATAATGCTTATGGCGAATTTTATAAGGATCTTTCTTCCCCGTAGCTGCACCTTCCACGTCCTCCATTTGCTCTTCTGCTGGTGGTACAACCGCTCATTTCCCGACAACGCATCCTGGTGGCTGCTCAACGTCATTACCGGCACGATAATGTGCATCGGCGGCGAGTTCCTCTGCTTGCAGACCGAGATGAAGGAGATCCCCGTGGGCTATGCGGCCCTCAATCAAAAGTCGGACGTCTGACTCTCATCCACCAACTTGTGATGCCTGCTAGCTTAACCAAGCCACTCAACCAGCTTCTTGTACATGTAATTTATTGTTAAACTAGTCTAAGATTACATAGCATATAGACACTATATTTTACTCCAATTAATGTAGTATTTGATAAACGAACGGGGGTCGTTGCCTGAGCTTGAGTTCCTCGGGCATCGAAGACGGCGGAAAGGAAAACTTAATTCCCGAACCAGTGTTGTTCCTTGATATTATGGACCAAAATTGCACATCGCTGGGCACAAACATCCAATAGCTGAAGGCCAGCATAAAAGTAGCGATCAGCGAACCCAAAAGGAGCAACATCCAGCACATTCCGTGTTGTGGCTTCTGCATATTCGTTGTGTTTGAGGTGGGGGCCTATAATTGACACAGCTGAGATCCGCAAATGAAAAAATTAAAATGCACCAAATAAACCGACAGATCTAGAAAAAAATAAAAAACGGGGTGGGGTCTAGTCAAGAGCTCACTCTGTTAAAAAATGCCAACCACCGAACGAGAAGCAAAGCTTTCCGAGTAAATTTATCTGACAAACAAAGAATCGACAAGCTCCCTTGGCCTCCAAAAAACATAAGAGGAACCTCTAATCAACTTTGCCTAATCTAATTAGATAGCGAGTATTCAGCCACACGATCGTCACATCCTCCACGCTGTGTGTTGCATTCCATTTACATCTCCCCTCGACAGATTTGAAATTTCAATTAGGCTGATTGTTAAAAAACCTGCATAATTTAAGCTTTTCTGCTGGGAAACAGGTGAGAAAGCTCTCTGAGAAGCTTATAAAGGGTCACTAACCTGATCTATAAATTGTACGCCTTTAATTTATTCAAGCACGGGTAATTAAAAACCCTACAAGAAATGAAGCTACAGATCGATTTAGAAACACATATAGATCTGCGAAACAGAAACGCTCGATATGTAATGGATCGCTACACTTATTAAACTATGGTCTCAGAATAAAACAAGAAAGGAAAGCTAACTTCGGGCGGAGCCGAAGTTGAAATACCCTTGCAGAATATTCTGCAAATTATATTCTCCAAAATCATTCATAATGCATTCTTAATACTCATAAAAAATCCCAACTTCCTAACTTTAAAAACACCAAAGTTATGGCATTTCCAATCGTTCACTTATATGGCAGTTATAGAATATAGTCGGCCGATCCTTATGAAATTTGATATGTCGGATTGATTAGGCAAAAATAAAACCCATAGAAAATCCCAACTTCCTAACTTTACAAACACCAAAGTTATGGCATTTCCGATCAATCAGTTATATGGCAGCTATAAGATATAGTCGGCCGATCCTTATGAAATTTGGTACGTCGGATTGATTGGCCAAATATAAAACCCATAGAAAATCCCAACTTTCTAACTTAACAAACACCAAAGTTATGGCATTTCCGATCAATCAGTTATATGGCAGCTATAAGATATAGTCGGCCGATCCTTATGAAATTTGGTAGGTCGGATTAATTGGCCAAATATAAAACCCATAGAAAATCCCAACTTTCTAACTTAACAAACACCAAAGTTATGGCATTCCCGATCAATCAGTTATATGGCAGCTATAAGATATAGTCGGCCAATCCTTATGAAATTTGGTAGGTCGGATTAATTGGCCAAATATAAAACCCATAGAAAATCGCAACTTCCTAACCTTACAACCACCAAAGTTATGGTATTTCCGATCGTTCAGTTATATGGCAGCTATAGGATATAGTCGGCCGATCCTTATGAAATTTGGTAAGTCAGATTGATTGGCCAAATATAAAACCCATAGAAAATCTCAACTTCCTAACTTTACAAATACCAAACTTATGGCATTTCCGATCGTTCAGTTATATGGCAGCTATAGGATATAGTCGGCCGATCCCGGCCGTTCCGACTTATATACTGCGTGCAAAGGAAAGAAGGATGTGTGCAAAGTTTCAATTCGATATCTTTAAAAATGAGAGCTAGTTCGCGTAGAAACAGACAGACGGACAGACAGACGGACGACAGACGGACAGACAGACGGACAGACAGACGGACAGACAGACGGACAGACAGACGGACAGACGGACATGCTTATATCAACTCAGGAGGTGATCCTGATCAAGAATTTATATACTTTATAGGGTCGGAGATGTCTCCTTCACTGCGTTGCACACTTTTGACCAAAATTATAATACCCTCTGCAAGGGTATAAAAAGTAACTTGCCAATTCTTATCAGTGGGGTTAATTTATAAGCTGATAACATTAAGTAAATAAATCTTAATCGAACGAAATACACCCGGTATTCGAATGTGTAAGTGCTAGGGGCGTGAAAAGATAACAAGTAATATACTTTTTCGACAAGCTAAAATCTTTTTTGACAAATTACTTATCAAACATTTAGCAAATGAGAACCTATTAATTAATATTATAAAAATCTTAGGCGTTTCCCATTAAACTATCCAACCCGTTAGCTTAAAATCAAGCTGAACAAAACAAGGCAAGCTCTTTTTTTCATTTGCTAAATTATTAATTTTAAGTTTAGCAAACTTTGTTTTTTAATTATTTTTTGTTTGTTGTTTTCTCGTTCATATAGTACATTATATCTCGATTTATATATTTCTTTAAATATATCATTACTATTTTTATGTTTTCTTCGTTTAAAATCATCAATTAAAGTTCAAGGATTTGCGCATTCATCGTCTTGATCCGATTTCGACCGTATATATGTCTATATATAATTGTATTTTAAGAATTCCAAGAAAAATGATGTGTGAGAAGTGTAACTTATGGACAAAAATTCAAAAATTGTATCAGTTGCTTAAATATTCTTAATATTTGTGGTTGTTTAGCATATTTGTAATATGTATGTTTGCATATCCTTCAACTATACGCATCGATTCAATAAAATATAAAGATGGGGGTGGAAGATGAGGATAGGGCCTGGGGTTTTTGGACTGGCTATACATGAATGTAATATACTTTCGCGATGGATTTGCACAATTTATTATTAATGCGGCTCCTGGTTTTAAGGTTGTGAGAGAGGAGTAAATTGCTAAACGAGGGTGGAGGGTGCATCTGTGTATCTTTTCTGTATTTTCGTGTTTTGTGTTGCGCTGCGCACAGACAGTTTCTCTTTCACATTTGCTGTTCCTATATAGTATACGTGTGTGCACATATAAATATAGTTGTTATCGACTTTGTTTTTTCTCCGTTTGGTTAGTTGCGAAAGTGGCTACGATGCGACTGCTGATGTTGCTGCTGCTGGCCCAGGACCTTTGCCTGAAGCTGAGGCCTTGCTCATTGACCCCACCAATCGGGTGCGTTGCCCGATTGCGCGGCACTGCCACCGTAGGAGCCGCCATAGGAGCCACCTCCGGCGCCACCGCCAAAGTATCCACCACCGCCTGAGTTGCCACCTAAAAACAAGAAAACAGCTCTGTTTAGTATCCCTTTCAAAAACTGGGAGCTTATGATGATGGATGGTTCCACACTCACCGAACTTACCGTATGAGTTTCCGTTGCTGCGGTAGCTGCCACCGCCGCCTCCAGCTCCAGAGCCACTGCTGCGTGGTGGGGGTCCACTGCGTCCACCACCACCTCCACCGCCACCAGAACTTTGACGGTAATCCCGAGAGCCGAAGCCGCCTCCATAACGCCCGCCACCACCTCGTCCAGCCCGCTTGGCTCCGCCATGGCCGCGATCCGAGCTCATGTCCTCCATGAAGTTGGGGATCTCCTGCTTCGTTTCGATCAGCAGCTCCAGCAGATCGGAGCAAATGTTGCGGTTCTTTTCGTTGAAGAAGGAGGTGGCCACACCGAGATTACCCATGCGGCCAGTACGTCCGATACGATGGACATACTCCTCCACATCTGAGGGCAGGTCAAAGTTGATGACGTGCTTCACGTGCGGAATGTCCAGACCTCGGGCGGCCACAGCAGTGGCCACCAGGATGGGGCAGTCGCCCGATCGGAAACAGCGCAGCGCCTCCTCCCGCTCCTTCTGGGTGCGATCTCCGTGGATGCTGGTTACGGGATGATTGCACTGGTACAGGAACTCCTCCAGCGAATCTGCACCCTTCTTAGTCTCCACAAAGATCAGCGTCAGGCTGTCCTTGCTGTACTCAGGGCCATCGCGAATGGACGACAGTAGATCCAGGAGATACGAGCGCTTATCGGGCTCGTAGACCCAGAGGATCGTCTGCGTAATATTCTCAGAGGTAGAGCCCACGCGACCCACGGCCAAGAAAATGTAATTGCTCAGGAAATCGCTGGCCAACTCTTGGATCTGTTTTGGGAATGTGGCCGAGAACATAAGCGTCTGGCGCTGTCCGGTTGGCGGCATGTTTAGCTGCTCGACGATGCGACGGATCTGTGGCTCGAAACCCATGTCCAACATACGATCCGCCTCGTCCAAGACCAGGAAACGAATGTTCTCCAGTCCCACCTTGCCGCGCGTGATCATATCCTCCAGGCGACCGGGTGTGGCCACAATCAAGTGGCAACCGCGGTCCAACTCGCGCATCTGCTCGCTGGTATTGTTACCTCCGTACAGCACAGCCGGACGCATCCGGGAGCGGTAGGCGAACTTCTTGGCCTCCTCGAAGATCTGGGTGGCAAGCTCGCGGGTTGGTGCCAGCACCAGACCCAGCGGATACTGTTTGCGTCGGCTGTACTGCCGGTTGCTCTGAGGCGGAGCCGAGTGTCCATGCTCGTACATCTGGTTAAGAATCGGCACCAGGAAGGCGGCCGTCTTGCCGGATCCGGTCTGGGCACAGGCCATTAAATCCCGGCCGTTGATGATGATCGGAATAGCGTGCTTCTGCACCGGTGTCGGTTTGTCATAACGTGCTAAGGCCACGTTGTTGCGGATGATCTCCGTCAGCTGCACATCATCGAACGATGTGATGTTCGGGGGCACATTCTGGCCCGTCGCCTCCACGGGTATATCCTCGTATTTGTCAAAATTGATTCCCGTATTGCCCACGCCGAACAGCTCCACCTCCAGGCGCTCGTCTCGGGCGCCCAACTTTGTGTAGTCGACGTTGCCGCCGCCGCCTTCCTTCCAGCGGCTGTTGTAGCCTCCGCCGCCGCCGCCTCCGCGCTCGCCGCGGTTGTTGAAGCTTCTGTTGCCGCCGCTGGGTTGTCCACCCTCGCCGCCTTCAAATCCGGCCGGACGCTCGGGCTCCTGCCAGCGATCATTGCGTGGCTGCTGCGGCTGCTGTGCCTGGCCTTCCTCGCCAGTCTGCTCGTTGAGCGCGTTTCCGCTTCCACCGCCACCTCCGCGGTACGAGGGTCCACGTCCAAAGCCGCGGCCTCCTCCACCTCCGCTGCGATTCCAGTCACCGCCGCGACGCGAGTCAAATTCACCACCTGCAGGAAATTCAGGAAATTAAGTTTTAATATACTAGCTCAGATATTTAATTATAGGTAACAATGGAAATCGAATCAAGATAGTCAGAAGAAAAAATTGCAACTTTACTCCATTTGTCTATACTATGTATTTTTTTGTTTGAGTTTTTAGTGTATTGAAACATTTGTTTAAGCCTTATTTAAGTATATGTGTGATTGACAGAGAAAAGGAAGAACAACTGTTTCAAAATATACTACAAGTTTGAAAAAAGAAAATGTTTAGAGTTTACAGAATAGGGTCATATTTGTAGATGATCTAGGCGAATATCAGTTTCCTAAGCTGGTCTTATTTCCCTGAGGCACTATAATATAATATATTTAACCCACCGTTGTAGTTGTCCTCGTAGCGACCTCCACGTCGTCCACCGCCGCCGCCGCCACCGCTTCCGAAACTGCCGTAGTCGCCGCTCTGGCGATTAAAGCCGCGACTTCCGCCGCCGCCGCCTCTGCGGTATTCACCTCCGCGCGGCTGCTGCGGGTCCCTGCTGTCCTGGCGCGGATTCCCGGCTCTCGAGTCGAAGCCCTGGCCTTGTCCTTGGCCCTGGCTCTCTGCGTCCGCTGCGTTGTTATTGCCACCACCACCACGAAGATGCGGGGGCACATACACACCACCGGTGACCGAGTTAGTGGAAGTCTTGCTTGTTATGGGGCCGCTGTATTCAGCAGAGCCGCCATTCAAGTCCAGACCAGCAACCTGCAAAGTGGATAAAGAAAATGTATGAGTCTTGGTCAAAATAAAATTTTAAAAAATTTAACCAATACATTCTTTAAAAATTTGTCTTCCCCCATTCTGTTATGTAGATTTTACAGTAACTATAATATATACTGATTACGAATCAACAGCTTAAACCTTTGTATTTCTTATTTAAAATCAATTCGTATGGATAGAACAAAGTGCATTAATGATAAGAATTAAAGTCACATATGTAATAACTAACAATAACAATGTTTTAAAAACAGCCTTTCCGCAAAGCCGTTTGTAAAATATTACAGTAACGATAGGCTACATTTTTTTGTTGAAGTAGCGATAGATATTACGTTGCTATTATTTTCTCGCAGCTGTTAATCACCACATTCAAATGCAAGTGCAGCAGAGTGTTCAAGTTCAACGGATTGGTTTCAGATTCCCCATTCGAAATGTACTCCAAACAATCTAAAACTTCACCGTTCTAGCTTAGCAACATGTGCTATTTACCGCTTCCTCTTTCCAGTGCAACGTGTATACGTATATACATACATACGTGCAAATCTCTGGAATAAATACAAGAGAGAGGCGCAACTAGTTTAAAGCTTTGAATTTGAATTTCGTATTCCGTTCGTCAGTAGCGGGCCGCTCTCCGTTTGTGACCGTCTCCCTTGCACTCACTAGCAGCTTATTACACAAAGAGGGGCCGCCTAGCAACACAACAAAAACAACACGTGAACGAGCCACCCACACACTGCTAAATAAATCGCAGACGTAGTGGTAGAACACTAAGCCCGGTTGTGGAACGCAAATGAAAACAATGTGGATTTCGTTCAAAGAACTCTTCACGAATAAATCGTTTTTTTTTTAGGGTAACTAACAAATTATTTATGTTTAGCGATCAGTATCGATTTCAACTAATTTACCATTTAATAATTTAATGTGTCGGTAATCCAATTTACATGTTTTTATCCAGGAAATCAAAACGATCACCAGTCGATTACTCAGAAAATTTCCCTGAAGCCTAATTCGGGGAATCCCAAAATACCATTTGATACTGACCGTCCCACATGCTAACACACGAACATATGTAATTGAAATGGGAAAGTTGATTTAATTTCACGCAAAAACTTTTACAAAAAAGTTAGAAAAATCGTTTCCCTCCCAAAATAGTTATTCTAGAAAGTTCACTAAACTTGGTCGACCTTGGACTATAAAGGGTTAATAAACCATATGAACAAATATTATATTTAGAATATGTATACAGTCAAATCCAAAACAGGTTATCTTAACTATAATAATTAAATAAGAAACGTAATAACATGTGTAATATACAAAATGATATATTCAATTTTTTTAAATAATATGGAATTTACAAAATCTCAATTATAACTAAATGCACAGTAAGATACACACTTTCGTCTAGTGGGTTTTACTTTCAGACCCAAAAACCATTAATAAAATTCGTTTAAATGAATTTTTTTTTTGCCAAATCACCCTTGAAATTAATCACCAGATCGCCACCCCTGGCAACCCTGTTTGTCAACATCTTCCACATGTGCGCGCAAGCGAGAGAGAGAGTGAGTTATGACACACACACACGGTCAGCCTTAGAACAGCGGCACTGCTCGCACACACACATAAACATGGGAGGCCGAGTGGAAACTTTCATATGTATATAATATACATGTCAAATTGGAGGCAAGCGAGCAAAAATTATACAAAAGAAATTACAAATTGGAATGACGAAGAAGAACCCAGACGCACGCATACAAACTTAATCCACACGAACCCGATTCACCGTTGTAAAAGAGCGATAGAGACATTAGTGTGTTATGAAATCAATAAATTTCTAGCCGAACTTTTTCCAATAGCCGCATGAGCATCACTCACACACACGCACTCATTCACTGTATATATGTATTTTTCCTATATATATGTAGTATTTATTTTCACTATGATAACTCTACTTACTTGCTGCTCTAGACCTGTGCCATTTTGGTTAATAGCATTACTCATATTATCCTCCAATCAGTTGCTTTTTTTTTCTTGCTTTCCGTTTAGGAAAATTTTGCAATGGTTACGCTTCGGTTTTTTTTTTCGGGGTGCACACTTGCAATTTGCGACAAAAAAATGTATACGATCGTTGTGTTGGTGTTGCACTTGGTGTCTATACGTTTTTCCTTAGTTTTTCCGACAAAACTTCTTACGTTCCACAAGCTACTGCGTTCTCGTGTGAAATTTTAGGGGTCTGTTCTGTACTTTTTCAGTTCTTTTTTTCTTCGCACAGAATTCCTTTGTTCGGCTTGAAACTGAGACGTTTCAGTATCGGATTCAGCTGGCCTGCTTGTGCCAACAATTACAATTACAAGCGCTATGGGCTTGAAAAATGCTGCTTTTCCGACGAGTTCACGTTTTTTTCCGCTTTCAGACGCGTGTCTAAAAATTAGGGTTGTGAAAATTTATATATCGATGAAGAATCGATAAGTGCACTGGAAAAAATCAAAGACTCAGCCCTGGGTTTCGGGCGCCGGCAAGCTAGCATGGACTCCACCCTGAAATATTCGTCCTCAAATATTGGGCGTTGCCAGATCGCTGCGCTAACCTCGCGGACTATCGAATTCAAATTGTAATTTGTTTGCTTTCGCTTTTTCAGGGCGTCGATCTCTTCTAGGCTGTTTATTTTTTGAAATGGAAGAGAAATAAGGCTGGGCAGTTGAAATTTTGTATCAATTTGGCCAAAAATTGTTGTGTTTATGTTTAGGTGTAGTTGGTTTACCAAGCGTCAGTCGCTTTCCCCATTTTTCAATTTGAAGCATAAAGCAAGGGAATTTGCATTACACTTTAGATCTTAAATGCAGGGCTCACTCAAAGCAGATAACTTACAGATGGTTAAAATTAGTTTGCTACAAAATACAATACAAAACAGAAATCTCCTCTTTGTGGCAGATCTGATTTAGACGCTAGATTCCTAAACAAAAATTGATTACAGGTCAAATCTTCTCGAATATATTCATGCACTTTCGTATTTATAATATACATATTGTGGGTGTACATGTTTATATAGAATAAATGCTTTTGGTATTGGCCTTAGCTTGAGATTACATAGTGGAACAATAAATATGGCTATATAGTATCGTATATATTTAGTAATGTCCCATCGATTAGCCCTTGAGGAGGCAGCGGGAGTAGAACTCCCGATCGATAGCGTCGTTTGGAATGTACGAACTCCATTTGAAGATCAACGCCAGCGTGTCTCTGGCAGCCATGTGATCCAGTGCGATGTTGAGGAAGCAGTTCCAGTTGTAGAAGAAGTGACGGCCCAGCTGCTCCTGTTCCACACCAGAGATGCATTCACAGTTGGCGCACACAAGTCGTCCCCGTTGGAGTTCCACGAACTGCTCAAAGCAGCGGCCCCAAGCCCCGACGCTCAGTTGTTTGCCCACGTCCGCAAGAAGCTCCGGCAGTCCGTAGTTGAGGACGATGGCCACCACCTTGGTGAGATTCTGCTCGGCCAGGTAGAATTTAGCTAAGACATCTAGTAGAGCCGGAACAGACTGCACCACATCGAAGCACTTGAGTTGCTCGCCGCGGGACCAGAAATATCGCAGGAGCACCGCTCCTAGTTCATGATACTGACAGGATGTATCGAAACGGAGTGGAAAGGAGCAATGCTCACACTTAACAACTTCCGCACTTTCGGGCGCATTTAGCAGCACAAAGCCCGCAGCTATGTGATCCCGCGTGGCATCGTCCACTTCCCAGATTAGCTCCGGATCCAGGTAATCGAAGTACATCTCGTAGCAGTTGCGTTTCGCTTGATCCGGTGTATCGCCGTGCTCCACCATTACTTGGGCCAATTTCTCGAGCAGATTGACCAGCTCCCCCGCTGCATATTCATCGAACACCGCTCGGTAGCGATCGACGCACTGTGTCCGGCTAAACTTGGCGCTCTTGGCGATCAGGTAAAGATTGTAAAGGGTCTTCTCTTCGGGACTAATGTGCGGAGCCTGTGGAGCCGGCCTTCTGCAACGGCTCACAATCTCCTCCTCCTGATCCTCCGCTCCCGACTCGTAGCGCGCCTTGATGTCCTTGAAGGGCAATGAACGCTCACTGGCCGGGATTAGTTCTCTGACCAACTGCTGCTGCTCTTCGGCGAAAATATTGAACTTGTACTTTATGATGTTCTTTCCGAATTTACCAGTTACCGTCAACAGGGCATCCTTGAAGTGTCCAGACTTAAGCGGCTGCTTCAGGTTGTCGCAAAAGGCATTCTCCAAAACATATACTCCTTTCGGTGGCGCTTTCGCTGCACTTCCTCCGCTCAAACTGCGTTCAGTGGTGGCCGAGCTGCCACCCGAACTTTGCGTATCCAAAGCACTGCCCGTGCACTGGGTTATGGCATCGAAAATCACGGATATATCATTCAGCAGTTCGTACTCCTGTCGTTCGATAAGCAGCTGCTTTAGGGGATTCAGTTGCTTCAGCTCGTAATCTTCGCGAGCCTTGTCTGCAAAATATCGCACATGTTGGCGTAGTAGATTTGCGCAGGGCAGCAATTTGGATTGCTGTATAAGGGAAACGGCGTGCGATTGCAGTGTCTGCAGTTGGACACTATAGAGTGCACCGGACTGGGTAAAAACAAAAATCTCCGATCCCGAGGAGCGGCAATCGGCGATTCTCTCGAACTGATTGCTCCACAGCACCACCGCTGAGCGCCGCACATCAAAGACATACAATCCCAGCTCTGTAAAGGCCAGCAGGAAGTCCTCGTTTAGCCTTTGCACTTTGGCGAACTGCAGGTTTTGCGGCTGATAGTCCAGCAGCTCGGCATTGGCGTCCAGTTCATCGGTGCCGCTACCAGGCCGTTGTATTCTCGCAGGAGCTGTGGCCAGGGCAGCCTTAAATTGGTGTGTCTGTATCACCTCGCCCTCAAAGTCCACCTCCCAAACGCGGCTACCAGGTCTGGCGCAGTAAATGCGAGACGGCTGCAAAGATTCCTGCGGCGAAACGAAGAAGCAGGCTCCGAAGGCGCCATCACGCGGGCGGTTTCCAATCTGAAAAGATCAGAAAATGATTAAAATGCAGGAATCACAGCCTATTTATTAATAAGAGCATGATCTAGTTAATGCAATTTATATTATACAGCTCAAATAAACTCATTCATATAAGCAAGCAAAATAGATTAATCAAGTTCAGTTAAGATTACAAAGTGGTTGCTGCTTGGGTATTGTTTCTTAATTAAAAAATCAAGATTGACCCAAGAACAATGTTAAAATCTAATTTTTAAGAATTCCGGTTTGGAGTTTGATTAACTTTGAACTGTGCTAAAGAATTCGCAGACTTCCTTGGTATGTAAACAAACGAAAGAATGATAATTGATCCCTTTAAAAACAAGGGCTCACCTGCTTGTATTCCTCATACTCCGTGTTGCAGAGAATGCACTTGGTGCAGTTCGAGACCAGCAACAGGGACTCGAAGTCGTCGATCTGGACGATGGGGGAGTCCAGGTAGAGTAGCGGATGCACGGTCATGTTGAGCAGCAGGCTGTGGCCGATGAAAGATGAGAGCAGAACTAGGCTGACCTGTCCGCGGGAGTCGCCATAGTAGAACTGCTTCTCGTCCTGCGTCCAGTGGATGCAGCTCACCTGGACCGACTGGTCCAGATGCGTGAATATCACCTGCGGTGTCGCCTGAGCGGACAAATTCACAGCGTACACGCAGATCAGCGATCGTTGCGTCGCAAAAGCCACATATTTGCTATTCGCCGAAATGCTGAGACTGGTGATCGCTCCATGTTTGTTGGGTATCAAATGCAGGAATTTGCCGTTCCGATTGAACAGGTACAGTGATCCAGATGAGGCCCCGAAAATGATATAGCTGTCGGAGATGTCGAAGCATGTGTACTGCGGGGAGATGAGGGTATATATCAGTGGGTGGCTTGCTATCAAATTACAGGTGAGATTGGCTGGGATTGCTCACCTTGATGCGATTGTGGTGTTTCAGCGGCAGCGACAGCGACAGCGAAAAATCAATAAAGTTCGTCAGGCAGTAAGCGTCGGCCATCTTTAGGGTGTTTTATTTTACCAAAGCGCTTGCCAATCACATATCTTTCTCTTTCATCGGGATTAAGTGATTATTTTAAAAATAACAAGCAATTAATTACACAAATTGTGTTTTTATCAGCAAGCAATTTGTGTACACGGGTCGTTCGAACAATCTGGCAGCTTTGCTAGCGCTGGCAGGTGGTCGATAGCAAGTGGATGTATTATCGAATTAAGTGATTAAAAAAATGTTTCTATGTATTTAAAAATTAAATTAAAACTTTGATATCCAGTGGAATGAAGTATTTAATATTTAAATTTTACTATTTTTAAAAGAAAAATATTTTGTAATAATATCTAAAAAAAATATATATATTTTCAGTGTTGTAAACTGACAGTTTCCTTGTTTACCTTTGCAATATTAGGTATGGCAACGCCCTCACCAACAGCTGTTAATTAAGTTTTTAAAAAAACTTTAAATAAAATGCTGTTTTAAAAGTCAATTACTTAGAATCTTCCCAAATATAAAGTAAACCCGTTTATAAGCAATGTTTTTAACCCAAAAACATAAATAAATCTCCCAGCCAAGCAGCTGTTCGCCGATACCTCCCCCCAACCGCAACATCTGCTGTCAAATAAACGTCAAAACAGTCGCTCGACTCGCTAGCGAAAAAGTGTAGAAAAAGTGAAATGAGGCGTGAAAAACATTAAATAAAATATAAATAAATACCAGGGGGAACACGACTAACTCGCATATGTACAAAGAAAACAAGGTGTAGCAATGGGCGACAAGGAGGAGCCCGTAACACCCGCGCCTTCGCCCACGGAGGAGGGAATGGCCACTATTGGGGCTGCTGGAGCCGGGGATCAACCCCAAACTTCGGCGGGCAATACGAACGTGAAGATCGTGATCATCGGAGCCGGAGTGGCCGGATTATCGGCTGCAAACCATCTCCTGCAAAACGGCTGCGAGGATTTCGTGATTCTGGAGGCAAGGGGCCGGGTGGGCGGACGCATAGTGTCCATACCGCTCAGCAATAACCAGAAGGTACCTATCGTTATATAACCCCCAATCTCAATAACCAAAACAACTCATATACAAGCCAATGGGATCTGCAGAGAATACCTGTGGTTCGGAAAAACTTTGAGCATGTTGTAACAGATTCTTCGCCCTGCGCCCCAAGTTGATTATAGATTTTTCCAAGCACTGCGCAGTCGGTCAGCTGTTCACGCTTTTCATTGGTGCTATTTTTATATATGTTCCTGTTCCTGGTTCGCCTATTGTTAGTTTATTTTGTAACATTCGATCATGTCTCCTCGAGGCCTATTAATTGTTTTATTTGCATCCAGCATGCCTTTTAACTTTTAGAACTCTCTACAACTGACTTTTCTTCTGTTCATTTCCATAGCTTTCACCGGTTTGGCGGTATTTTATCAAGGAATTTGTTATACAACTTTCTTTGGCAACATTTGGCCAGATAAGATAGGGTTTTTCTGAATTAAGCCAACGATGACGTATCTAGTGCAATGCCCTAATCAACTCACGAGCTTGCGGGCCCACGATCACGTAGTCTTATTTATAAAATAATAAATTTTGATACAATTCTTATTAGTGAAAGTCATTTTTATCAAGGGTTTCCTTTAAATACCCATGTAATTGAAGTTTCTTTACTTAGCCGCAGAAACGTGATTCTCACATTATACGCCCCTTAAATATTTAAACAATCTAGGTCAGTTTTTATCTCCTTATCACTGGCAAGTGTAAGGCATTTATCTATTTTTTTCTACTCGAATTTACTTAATCAACATTTCTAAATTATCTCACTTTTATTTTGCAGATTGAATTGGGCGCCAATTGGATACACGGCGTCCTGGGCAACCCCATCTTCGAGCTGGCCGTGCATCATGGTCTAGTCAGCGTGGTCAACGTACCCAAACCGCACAAGGTGGTGGCCACCACAGAGGACGGGCACCAGGTGCCGTTCAGCATACTACAGGAGATCTACGAGGCGTACGTCTGCTTTTTAAGGCGCTGCGATGAGTACTTCCTCTGTCAGTACAGCCCGCCGCCGGATATACACAGTGTGGGCGAGCATATAAACTACGAAATTGAGATCTATCTGAGTGGTGTGCAGGACCCCAAGGAAAAGCGCCTCAAGCAGTCCATTTTCAACTGCCTGCTGAAGAGAGAGACCTGCATAACCGGCTGCAACAACATGAATGAGGTGGATCTCCTCGAACTCGGTTAGTACCAAACCATAAACCAGCTTATGCAATCAAATCAAAATATATCCTCCATTTCAGGCAGCTACACAGAACTACAGGGAGGCAACATAGTGCTGCCTTCTGGTTATAGCTCTATCCTGCGCCCGCTGGGCGCTCAAATACCCAAGCAGGCCATCCTGACCAAATGCCCGGTGAAGAAAATCCACTGGAAGCGGAAAAAGACCTTCACTGGCCTGGAGACCGTTGACGAGAATTCGGAGGACGAGCACTCGGACGATTCAGAGCGAACGGTGACGGAAGTGCCCACGGGAGGGCTTCGTGGCGGGTCCGTGGAGTCAAACTCCAGCAGCAATTGTGATTATCCTGCAGGCAATGTGCGCGTGGATTGCGAGGACGGTCGAGTGTTTCATGCCGCCCATGTGATATGCACCATACCGCTGGGCGTGCTTAAGGGAACCCATCGCACTCTTTTCGATCCTGTGCTGCCGCAGTACAAACAGGAGTCCATCGAGAATCTCATGTTCGGCACAGTTGACAAAATCTTCTTGGAGTACGAGCGGCCGTTCCTCAGTGCGGATATATCAGAGATTATGCTGCTTTGGGACGACGATAAGCGAGACATGAACAGCTCCGAGGAGGAGCTGGCTAGCGAGGAGTATCTCAGCAAGAATTGGTTCAAGAAAATCTATTCATTTGCCAAGATGACGGACACGTTGCTCCTGGGCTGGGTCTCCGGACGGGAGGCGGAGTACATGGAGACACTTGGCCACGAGGAGGTGGCGGAAAAGTGCACGGAAATACTGAGGAGTTTTCTTCAGGACCCATATGTTCCCAAGCCGAAGCGGTGTGTGTGGTAAGCATACTTGTTTAGTAAGTCTTATAGCATCTGGTATACAGATTTATTTTCCCATTTCAGCACCAGTTGGAAGTCCCAGGACTTTACCGGCGGAGCCTACACCTCGATACCCGTGGGGGCCACTCAGGAGGACATAGAAAATCTAGCCCAGCCTCTATATGCCACGCCCCAGGCCATGAAGGTGAGTTCTACAAAATATCTAATCATGGAAATTGTACTGATATTATTATATCTTTGTAGCCCGCCATAGTCTTTGCAGGAGAGCACACCCATTCCAGTTTCTACTCCACTGTACACGGTGCCTACTTGAGCGGACGGACGGCAGCACAGCATTTGTTGGCTAGCGAGGAGCCAGACGAAATCATCATGGAGTCGGACGGCAGCGATCTGAGCGCCTGGATACAGGGCATCGCTCTGGACTGAGACTAAGCTAATCAACGACCACTCATCGATTTTGTATTATAATTTATTTCCGTTTTTTGTACACTCTTCAAACGCTTTTTAGCTAGTGATATTAAATTTTTTTGATTGTAATTTATTTTGCTAACGTCGTAAAACGATTTACCCATTTTTTGTACATCCCTTGTAAGCATTTGTTTTATTTTGTTGATGCAATTATTTTGTAATTTATTTTGAACCCGCTTGTACAATACTATAAATAAACGTTACGATTTAGCTGAGCTGATCAATGTGCTGCCAACTCTAACAGATCGTGCACTCGCAGCAGCTTTCACTGTACTTGAACGAAAAGTGTGCACAAAAGCATAAAGTTGTTTAGACGTAATTACTGATTAGCAAACTTAAGAACATAAATACAAATATAATGCCTATTTTTATAAATTCGTATTTAATGTAGCAGGCGTTGCACCAAGTTGGTATTAAGAAGGGCGTCAACTGAGTGCAATACATGTATATTTGAAACTAACTATTGTTAACGTTGACTATTTTGCTAACTAATTTATGCATTAGTTGAATCTTTAAGACAGAAAACAGAGGGCAAAAGTTGATATTCATAAGTCCGTTTTAACTATAGGACCTGCATATTATTTGTATTTGTGACAAAGATATCGACTTGTACGCATAAAATAAATAAAAGAACACGCTAATTTATTCTGTTTAACTTCTACCATATTTTGAAAATCTTATACTACATTGGTTCCAACAATATAGGCTGTTTGTTTCTTGACAAACAAAACCAAATTTCAAAAAATCATTTACACTATTTGGAAAATCGTGAAACATAAAGTTCTAAATTTCTTTTGATATATTAGTACGAATTATATTTACGAGCGTTAATTTCGTATTCACGGAAAAGGTAATGTAGCAATAAGAACTATATATACAATTATGCAGAAGTTAGAATAGATATTACAATATATATTTTACGTATTATATCGATATATAATACATATAATTAAGAGTACGAACAAAAAAACAAAAAATCCTTCGAGCCGGATTTGAACCAGCGACCTATGGATTTCTATTGCATGTTTTCCAACTACAGTCCACCGCTCTACCAACTGAGCTATCGAAGGGGGCGTGCTGGGGTGCTGGTTTTAGACCGGGTATCCGGATAATCACGACCGGACTGTGGTCCGACATCGAATATTGTATTGGTTTATTTATTTGTCTGTTTTTAAATGTCATTCCATTTATTGCAGCCAGGGCCATTTAAAGACCCTGATTGCGTTGCTGATAGTGAATGTTGGTGGGCTATTATTTTTTTCAAAATTTTGGTTTAATTTAGTTTAGTTTTAAGTATATATTTAATAGGTATTCGTTTAGTTGTCAATTTTATTTTTAACCACTTTATTTTTTTTTTATTAATTTGTTGGTGTACTTTGTTTAATAGTAAAAAAAAAATATACTAATTTCAATAAAATAAAAAATTACAACAATCGATCCTTCGAGCCGGATTTGAACCAGCGACCTATGGATTTCTATTGCACGTTTTTCCAACTACAGTCCACCGCTCTACCAACTGAGCTATCGAAGGTTAACATTACTGACGGCCAATGTGAGTCTTCTGCATGCGCGAAAACGATAAGTTTGATTTTCAAAACATACAGTGTTTACTCTTCTGCATATAGTTAATGTTCATA